TTGGGAGTGGGCGGCTTGGGAAGGGAAGATGTGTTGGGAGGCGCCGTCGATGGACATGGGTACGGTGCCGCTGTGGTTGGGTTGAGAGCTGGCGTCAATGGATATGGAGGTGGAGATGTCCATTGGTGTTGGGGCTTCGTCACTGGGAGATTTGACGAGGGTGGGGGAGAGGCTCATGAATCGGTTGAATTCGTCGCGGTTGGTGCTGGTCTTTGTGGAAAAGGAGTCTGGGTGGATGGTGGTTTGAGGAGGAGTCCGTTTCGGACCCGTGTCCTCTTTGAAGCTGTTTTCTAGGAGTGTGGACAGGAAGGCGTACTGCCTGAGGTAGGGCAGCATGGCGATGAGGTGCTGCGGGTGCGAGAAGGAGGCCTCGGTCAAGGTCTTGCCGTATACTGGTTTGTAGATGTAGAGTGAGTTGGCGTGTTTTCTCGATAACCAAGCTGGTGAACCTGGTAACTGGTAAGTGATGCCCTTTGTGTGGTGAATCTCTCGTGGTTCTGTTGGATCGTAGTAGCCACCGGGTGCTATGGGGAACACGAGGTTGTCGAAGGACTTTGATACGTCCATGGCTGGTATTCCGATGCCCATACTCCGAAGCTGCTCCCAAAGGCCAAAAGAGATATGGATAGGAGGATCAAAAGTGGCGCTGAAAGTGACCGAGGGCAGGCGTGGGCCCAGGAGAGAATCCCCAGCCTTTTCAGGATCTGGGGGAACGATTGTATCTTCGGGCTCCAGCCAGTGTACCATAGGGCTCGTTTGTAGATCTCCAGGAATATGGGGCAACTCAACATTTTCGGAGATCCAATGGTTAGAAACCCGAACGGGATGGACATTCACATCGAGATTCCTGTTGATGGGGGCACATCCGACAAGAATGCCCCAGATTTTTTCCTGCTTCTCAACATGGGCGGCCATCTGTGGGTTTGCTGGGGGCTGAAGATGCTTGTTCTTCCAGTAGTCAATCCTCATGCCTACTTTGCCCCGGGCATTCATAGCAGGAGTTCCGCTGCGATTACAGAGGACGATGTTGCGAAGATACTCATCAGTCCGTCCGGCAAGGGACGCATCCTCGCGAACCTTTTGTAGCTCCCACTGATGTAACCGACTCAGGCTGTCAAAGACTCCGGCGATAGCCTCGTACAGGTTAAGTACCGAGGCAATGCTCAACTTATCCAAGATAGCCAGACGCTCAAAGTTGACCGAAAACTTGTCGAGCTGCTTGGTCAGTGGGCTTTGGCCGGGCTGCAGCTTGAGGTTCTCCAGAAGAATTTTTCCTGCATCTTCGGCGTGCTTGTTAACGCTCTCCGAAGACTCGGGGAAAGCCAAGGTAAGTGACTGGACAATGTTGTCTGTGAAGCCTATGAGAAGCTCGAGGGCCGAGCCAGCTATTATTAGCGTTCGCTTCGACTCCCCGGCCATATGCTCATCCCACATGCAGTCGAGTTCCAGCTTTTGGGCCAGTCTCTCCAGGCCAGCCTCACTGACGTAACCGCGGTTTTGGCTGAGGATGGAGATGACTTCATCTAGCCGTTTGGCCTTTTCATCCTCGGTGTTCCTCCCAACCTGAAGGCCAGCTAGACCACCCAGGCTCTTGAAATCCAGGTCAGACAGCTGCAAATTGCTGAATGCGGCGGCAGCAGACGGACTATCAAAGCTGACAGCGCTGGTGCTGGTAGGATGATTTAGCAGGGCAGCCGCCGAAATGGCCGGGGACTTTTTGACTGCCTGCGGCGAGAGACGGGAACCGTGAGGGGATAGAGCAGCATGAGCCATGGAAAAGGGTGTGGATACAGGAGGAGTGGCTGCTGCTCCATGCTGTGTCTGCGAAGGCGTCCTTCCGCTCCCCTGCTGGGAAAGAGTATGCTTCATGGGTGTTGGCGTGGTCATGTTGCCGTTTGTTTACATAGATTTCTGTTCCGTTGTTGTTGAGAGTGAGATTGAGAGCTCGAAGTCCGTCGAGGGGTGACAGACAAGAGCCAATCAATTGAGACCAAAACCCGGGAATGTGAATGGAGGGAGGGTCAGTCTTCTGAGCTCTCTCTCTCTCTCTCTCTGTGCTGCGCGTGGTCCCGAATAATGATAGTACTGATTGATACAGGCCCGCCCAAATGACCAATCTGTAAATGTCGATAAGATGATTTGAGTGTGTGTCGAATATTTATTTCACCAAACCACACACGTTTGACGGGAGTGTCTTTTTAAAGGTTGGAGAGGGAGTAACCTAAGCAAGGAACGATGGAAGTCGAGAAACCCAAGCTGAGGTCGGCGATTGATGTTGAAGTGACGGCGGGAAGGGGCGTGCACGGACCCCTGGTTGAGGTGCCTTCCATCGCTGCCCGTTGTGCCCGTTGTGCCCGTACTGGTACACTAGGTGTGCTATAACCCACTGTAACTGCCTCTGTCTTCAGCGGTCCTTCACTGACTTTACTTGAGCAAGAGTAAGTAGGTGGGGCCAGTTCCCACCGGCAGGCATGAGGTCAGCTCCTGCAATGCAACAGCAACAGCATGGATGTGGAAAGGTGGAGTGCCCCTCGACATTCAATGTCAACAACCAAGACTAAACCTCCAAGCAACCAACATCCGTCTTCTTTCTCTTCTTCTCAACCAGTCTCCCGTTGTCCAGTCGCGCACGAACTTCCAGGACTTCTAGTATACGTCTCGATCAGCAAAAACAAAAAAATAGCTAAAGTAGCCGAGTTCAGTATCAACCAACACGCGCTAGCTATCAACATCACCACCGCATACATCAACCAAAGCTGCTCCTATCCTTCCTCCATCCCCGATCACGACGCCAGATACGGTCTCATTGTTAAACCCACATACTTCGCGGCATCGATAACTCTACCGTCACAATAGTGCTGAGACGCTCCACGAGTTGCCCCCAATCGGGCTCAGACAAGGACAACCAAAGTCCGGACAAAAACACAGGCGCATCCCCAGATTCGGGACAGTTACTGGAAAACACGACAGAGGAAACAGCCCGGTTGGCCAGCAGAGTTCCTCTGGGCACTTCACCCAACACAAGCTCTCGGTTTATTCAAGGCTCTGCCTTGACTCTAGAGCCTCAACGCCGGCCACGTGCAGGCTTCCAGAAGGAGAATCTTGACACTGGCCGAACCCCTTCTTCCAGCACACCAGCCCGTCAACGCAGACAGATTCTGGAGCCGCCAAGTCTTGAATGGATCCGTGGACACACACGAACGAGTACATCTAAGGACTAGAAACCTGATTCTGCTGCGACTTCGGATCCTTCACCAACACTTCCATCTCCGCACACACCTCGTTCTTCACGTGCACGTCCAAGCACCCCTCGTGCGTCTGAAAGACCTCACCTTGAGCTGGTTCGAGACATCAGTGGCGATAACGTTGCCGACATCTTGGAAGCTGCCAGTGCTTATGCCAATCTAGCCACGTCGCCTCTCTCTACTCCGCTCGAACTCCCAATATCGTCGAGAGGCCGGAGAAGAGCCAAATCGCTTCCAGCCGGACAAAGATCCAAGTCGAAGCCCAGAGACGAACCAGAAGCAACAGACGAAGAAGAAGACATGAACGGCATGCACGCTGGTAATATGCCCGCCGCCATGGTTGGCCTCCCCACGCCGGCAGGGCACCAAGCCGAGCTAAACTACATCTACGGCCTGGTTGAGGAATTGAGTCGACAACTCGCGCAGAACCAACGGGCTTTGGAGGAGGTCGTCTCGGGTGTTGGCAAAGTGCGCAGGCGGGCAAGGTCACAGTCTCTCACAAATGACGAACTACTCAATGCCGCAGGCGAAGAACTCAAGAGTATGTTTCCCCCTAGTCTCATGTAATATGATGAATGATAGCTGCAAGCCTGCTAACTCATTTGTGCAATTTCAGACCAGGATGAAAACATAGACCAACTAGTTTCAGTTCTCACCGAGGCCCTGGAAAAGGCCAAATTCTCCCGTGACGCCAACGCCGCCCTCCTCTCACAGTACTCACAAGTCATGTACACCATGCTCAAGAAGTTCCACGAGTACAAAGCCAAGCACGTCCAAGACGTGGCAGCCTGGCATCACTCATACCGCGCCCAACTAGCTGAGGCGCGCGCCGAAAATAGTCGACTCCGCGAGCAGATTTGGGAGATGCAGGCGCATGCCGGCAAGGCCAACGAGCTTGTGCGCAAGTTCCGCGCCGAGTATGACAAGGACGAAAAGCGATGGGAGCGGACGGTGGATGCCAAGGCCATGAGGCAGGAGCTACGGTTCTGGAAGAGGATGGCGATGCCTGAGTTGCCGGATGATGATGAATTCTGGAGTGATGATGATGATATTATTGATAGGGCTGAAAAGGAAAGGCAAAAGGAACTGCAGAAGTTGGATGCTGAGCAACAGGCACAGGCTGCTCAGGCTGTGGCAGAGGAGGCGGCTGCGAACGAGGCTGCTGAAAGTAGTGGTTTGGGAGAGATGAGTGGGAGTAATGGTTCTGGCGTGACGGGGGTACCGACGGAGGTACCACAGCCATCTGTGTCGTGAGACTAGTATCAGCGGCTTGTGGTGATACCCCTTTTTTGTTGTTTGTTTGTTGATGGTGTTACGGTACATAGGGTGGGCGTACAGGGAAATTGTGCATACGATAAAACCCATAAGCGATTAATAAGGGTGCTTTAAAAGATATTTACTTTTGCGACATTGTCTGAGCATCAGATCGAAAGGTTGCATTTGGTCTTTGAACACGCAGGGTAACGGAATACCACATTTTGTCCCTGTTCATGAGGGCTTTCATGGAGGAACCTGATGACATCCAAGTACCAGGTCATCAACAAGTTCAAACACACGAACGAAAATCCATCGGTGAACTAAAGACAACTCCCAATTTCATACATCTAAACATGTGCCTGTTGCTCTTCTACTGCACCTCTATGAAGGCAATTCCTACATCCCGTAGGCCGACCCAAATCACAAAACCTCTCCAGACCCAAACTCCCCATTTTGTTCACTTTTGAACCCTAGCCTTTTCATTGCCCACCTAGGTCCTTTCCTCAAATTACGACCTGTTTAACTCCCACTCACTGCCACTCAACACTCCACGTCTTCTCGCCGCTCCTGAACGGCACAATCTCCACCTTGTCCGTCTTGAGACTCTCCTCCACCACGGCCCCATCCCTCTTGACCAAAATCTTCTTCTCCGCCGGCCCAAGCTCGTAAAACTTGCGACCAAACTCACTAAGGAAGCCCGCCAGCACCTCCTCCGTCACCTGCTCCTCCTTGATATCTCCCCTCGCAATGCCCTCCTCCAGCGCAGTCAACACATAGCCCAAGGCATACGGCTGCGTGAACACGCCCGCCGCCGTGTTGCCCTTGCCCTTCTTGCTCGAGATATCATGGGGCGCCGAGTCGGTGCCCAAAAAGAACTTGCCCTCGCTCGTGACCAAGGCCTGCAGCAGCGCGCGGCGGTCCTCGGGCGACTTGGCGCTCGGCTTGCAGTAGTGGTGCACGTTGGCGGACCAGTCGTCCACGAGCAGCGAGAGGTGGTGGGCCGTGATGGTGGCGACCACGTTGGGCCCGCAGGCGCGCACGGCAGCGACGGCGTCGGCGGTGGTGCAGTGCTCGAGCACGATCTTGAGGTTGGGGTATTTGCTGTGCAGGGAGGTGAGGGTGGGCAGGAACTTGGACTCGGCGTTCATGACGGTCACGTTGTCGGTGGGGGAAGAAGGCATCTCGCCGTGCAGGTTGAGGACGAGACCTTCGGATTCCATGGTGGAGAGGACGTCGTGGAAGGGGTCGAAGGAGACGACGCCCCATTGGGAGTTGGTGGTGGCGCCGCGGGGGTAGGCCTTTTCATGAAGGAGGTTTGTTAGTGGAATGTAATAATGAGAATAAGAATGAGGAAAGAATAAGGGAAGGACGACCAACCTTGACACCGGCAATACCGGCCTTCTTGGCCTTGCGGATCTCATCGGGGGTGATGCTCTCGTGAAGGTAGAGAGACATGAGGTAGTTGACCTCGGGGTCGTAAGCCTGGAGGGCCTTCTTGTACTCGAGAGCCTCATCGACGGTGACGACGGGGCGAGGCGCCAGGTTGGGCATGACGAAGACGGTGTCGATGCCGGCCTTGCGGATGGTCGGGGTGACCAGCTCGGCAATGGGGCCGGGGGCGTTGCGCAAGTGGACGTGCATGTCCGCCGCGGCGGGGAGGAGGTAGGAGTCCTTGAGAGCCATTGTGTCTGGTGGTGGTTGTGTTGGTGATGTTAGAGGAGGGAGGTTGGTCTGAGTGGTTTGTGCGAGTGAGTGAGTGAAAGTCTCAAGTGAAGATATTCACACTGATATGAAAGCAGTCACTGACCTACAACACCAAGTGGGTTGGATTGTATCGAGTAATGATCGACTAATCGGGGTGGAACTCCAAAGTCAATTCAGCCCGAGACATGCCATTCCCGTCGACGTCTCGGGACAGTGGGGCATTTCGTGATGGAGTTCCTGAGGAAGGTTTCCAGAAGTTGAAGATCGGGGGTTAGGGTTGGTGATTGTTGATCCGGCATCTCTTTTCCGAACACAAGTGTAACCGTCAACCACGATACAATTAATGGTCAACAATGTTCCGCAATGTCTCTCTTATCTCCATCTATGCTTCACACTCTCCGGCGTAACCTGAACCATTCTACTGGTACCCCATTTCTCATTGACAACGCATCTCCATCCGGTGCAGAACCCCCGGCAATCTGGCACTTTTGGCGTCTGGATCTGGAAGGCGTTTTGAAAAGCGATTAATAATGTACTTCGTTGTTAATCCCCGTTGCACCCGCTTACTGCCAATCACACAACGCGTTTGGACGCGGGTTCCTTTGATGACGTTGGGCTTTAAGGGAACGGAAATCTCAACTTCACCGTTACTTCAGCTCCAGAAGATGTTGTTCCTCAGATCCTTGTCGTAATTGTTTCTTCCTCCTTTTCTGTGATCAATGTCCTCAACGAGGTGATCTTCCTTTTCTCTACAACACTTTGCTGATGAAGGTTGATACAACAACAACAACATAGAGAATAAAGGTCACCGCCATGTTTTCTAAAACAACTGTCTTCGAAACAACTGTACACGACCGCCGTCATCACAATGTCGACATCGATGAGAACGACATGAGCTCATCACCAACTCTCACAGCTTCAGCTCCGGAAACCACCCCTCTTTTAAATTCCGAGACAGCCAGTTCCTACACCATCGGTAATGGGCCACCACCAACACCACCACCACCCCAAGATGAGAAGCCCATTGGATTTGCCCGGGGTCTTTCCATTGCCCTGAGCATGTGGGTTCTCATCTTTCTTCAGGGTAAGTCTCTCAAACATCAACATGTTTATACCACGACGAGACAGGCATTAACACCACCACAAGCGGGCAACATGTCTGGAATCAGCACAGTTCAAAGCAGCATCGCCACCGATCTCGACGCCTACGACCAAGCCATGTGGTTCACCGGTGTTTACCTCATCAGCTCCTCTTGTATATCTCCCCTCACCGGCCGACTCTCCACCATCTTCACCCCGGGCCTTATGATCCTCGTCTCGTCCCTTTTCTTCACTATAGGCGCAATCGTTACCAGTCAAGCCCACACCCTTTTCGTCTTCCTGTTCGGTCGAATCCTTGTTGGCATCGGCGGCGGCGGGATCATGACCCTTTCTTTGATCCTCGTCATCCAACTGACCAGCAAGCGCCGCCGCGGCGTCTGGATCGGCCTCACCAACGCCGGCTTCACAGTGGGCATGTCCACGGGTGCTGTTGTCTTTGGTGTTTTGTTGCCCATCATCGGCTGGCGCGCTCTCTTCTGGGCACAAGCACCCCTCGCTCTGCTCGGCGGCCTTGGAGTCTACGCCAGCATTCCCTCCTCCCTGTCCACCGGCCAACCTCTATCTCCCGGGGACGCGGAAAAGACCAGCCTGCAAAAGCTGCGCGGAATCGACTATGCGGGCGCCATCACTCTGACTACCACCATTGTCCTATTGCTTTACTCCCTCTCCGGCCGCACAGGAATCCACTATACCCCGCTGTTTTCGTCTCTGCTCACCTTCTGCCTCTTCCTGGTGATCGAATCCCGCTTCGCCAGCGACCCCATCCTCCCGTTACGGATCCTTCGGTCTCGCGGTATCTTGCTGTCCTGCCTCTCGCAGCTAGGCTTCATGTCGGCGCGCTGGACCGTGCTCTTCTATGCGCCCATCTTTGCGCTTGCCGTGCATGGCGCCAGTCCCGCGCTGGCGGGGTCCATTCTGATTCCGACCAACCTCGGTTTCGGCATGGGTGGATTACTGGTGGGCTGGCTGCACATGTCGCGGCAACAGCACGCTGATGATGATGATGATCATCATCATCAAAATACTAGCAGCAGCAGCAGCAGCAGCAGCAGCAAGGACTACTGGTTCTCTTCCTTGGTGTCCATGGGTATTTTTGGCTTGACGATCCTGGCCATGGGGTGGGTGAGTAACGCTGCCACGCAAATGGGGTGGTATGTCGGGGTGATTTTTGTCAATGGGCTGGCGACGGGCGCGGCGGTGAATTATACCATGGCGCATTTGCTGCATTTGAGTCATGCCCGGGAACACTTTATCGTGACGGGCTTGTTGGCTACTTTTAGGGGATTTGCGGGCAGTACCGGCACGGCGATTGGGGGCGGGATCTTTGGGCGGGAGCTGAGGGCTTCGCTCTATCGAGGATTTGAGATGATTGAAGGGCTGCCTAGAGAGAGGATGGAGAAGTTGGTTACGGTTTTGGTGGGCAGTCCGGCGAGAGTGCACCAGGAGGGCTTCTTGACAGTTGAAGAGAGGCTGGTTTCAGTCAGTGGGTATGAACATGCGTTGAGCACACTTTATCATAGCGCCGCGGCGTTGTGTGTGGTTGTGTTGTTGGTACAGGCGGGGACGGGGTGGACGGCTGGGGGAGTGAGTAAGGAGGAGGAGAGAGAGATTGAGCAGGCGATCGCGGAACATGATGGGAGGATGGAGGCATAGACTACTTAGACTTTAGATGTGCTATAACGAGATAGATCCTGTGTCTTAGAACAGAAGCCATGCATCTGTGACTCTTTTTTTGGAAATATAGAAAGAATAGACACCTACTACCCATCAAATTTCGGTGGTCTCTGATATTTTAAAATTACTTGCAGCTCGAAACTGTACAGCTCTCTTTAAATTTACACTTCTCCCGGCGATGAAGGTGTCGGTAGGGGGAGATGTGAGGAGAGATGAAAGTTAGGGTAGAGGACGAAGGTTTGATTTCGGATGGTATGGTAGGTGAAGATACCGGCTAGTTGGCCTCGGTATATGATGTTCTTATATAATAGCTGCGGCACTAGAAGATCTGCGCGGAAGATGTTAGTGAGGGAGATGCGAGATCCACGCGGAGAGGAACTCACCTGGATCCAATCCGTTCTTGCTATGTTTGCTACGGTGGCGAAAAGGGTGGTGTTGAGAAGGAAGGTGGGATGATTTTGGAGTGATGGTCGCGAGTCGTGATGGGCGAGGTGGTGTTTGTACTTGCACCCCCCTTCCACGCCATTATAGCTGCCCCCAAAGGCACTGCCCTCGTGTCTGGATCATCATCAGTCAAGTCTCAAAAACTCCTGCGACAAAGGAAAGAGGAAGATGAGGAGGTCGGTCTCGGGATGATTCACAAGTCAAAAAGAATAGTGATGGATGATGCTGCGTTTGCCTTTTTCAACCAACGTCGATACCTTCCCCAACCCCAGTTGGCGAAGGTAAGGTATTACCAGGAAAAGCATGTACGAAGAGAAAAAAAAAACACGAAAGTCGACTACAGAAGCCGAAGACACATCCAAGTCACAAAGAGAACCGACCAAAGCAGCCTACAGAGGCCTCGAGTAAGTGAAACTACAAGTCGCCCTCAGGGGTGAGCCCAGCACTGCCAGCATTAAGACTAGAAACGAGGCCGAAATCATTAAATGAGTGATGGTCCTTATGTTCTCCTGCCTCCTTTCCGAAACTACCTACCTAGCTACTTCTTTAGCCCTTACCTACCTACCTACTCTTGCAAAAGCCCCAGCATACTTTTTGAACAGCCAATCTAATTTCGAAGATAGAGACAATCTTCCCGTCCATTTAGTCATCCGTAGAGTTGAACATAGTATTGAAGATGGCACCTGTTTTAAAGCTGGTGCGTGTTATAGTAGCATGACAAAACGTTAGACATTCAACAAAGAGAATTAGGTTTACTTACCTCCAGTAGTTTGTGGAACTTAGGTCTGATTGTTCTCAAAAATTTCAATAAGCGGTAGCAGACTAGTTTACCTAACCAAGTCGGTTGATCTCATCAATTTTATGTCCCGGACGAGGATAGCAACTATGGTAACAGAATGCACCCTTGTCAATCCTATGGTCAACATCCATACCCAGCCGTCACGCCAAAAGTATGTAGTCCATTATGCCTAAACACCCTCAACGGATACCATGAGAGCATAAAACCCATATTCAATATACGCTATGTATGTACTTGATAATCCAACAATAACACCACAGCCCTTTTATCCCAAGGTATATATCCCATCCATCCATCCATCCCTCCTTTTCCATGACAGCAAGAAGAAAAAAGAAACTACTCAAACTCCCTCTTCCCAAGTAAACCCCTCACACTTGCCCCCCTCCCTTCCACCCCCTTCCACCTCCTCGCCTGCCTCCTCGTCTCCGCTTCCGCGACCTTCGCCCTCCTCTCGTTCTCTCGCGCAAAATAATTAATACCCGACATCTTGCCCGCCGTCCGCTTAATCTTGACATCCTCACCAAACCCACTCGCGCCCGCCGCTTTGCTGTTGGTATACGGGTTGGTCGTCGTAGAGACGGATACCGAGGGACCAGGAGTGGTGGTGGTGGTGCTAGATAAAGAGGCAGCAGAGGAGTTGGTGGTAGCCCGACGGAGTAAGGCGGGGACCTTGAATGCTGATTGAGACAAGGATGAAGAAGGAGCAGCGAAGGCGAGTTTGGATTGGTTTGATGTCGAAGAGGTGGAGGCGGCAGAGGTGGAAGAGGAGTTGCGTTTGAGGGAGATGCGGTCCACGATGGCTACTGAGCCGGTGCGGCGAGGGTTGGTAGCGGGTTTAGATGGCGGTGCGTTATTCTTCTCCTTACCGGGAGTGGCGGGGATGCTGTCTTCTTCATCCTCTTCTTCTTCGTCGGAACCGAGGACGGTGGCGGGGATGACGGAGGAAGTGTGTGGTTCGTCTAGAAGGTTAGACAAACTCTCGCGGATTTCGCCCAGATTACTTGGTTTGCGACCGCTCTTGGTGCGGCGGGGATTCGTGGAAGTTGTCGTCTGCGGCTGGGTAGCCGGGATGGTCTGGTCTTTACTAGAGGACTGCGAGTCTTGTGTCGCCGGGATGACTGAAGATGGCTTGTCCGCGGGACCAAAGAGGAAATCCATCTCATCGTCGCTGCCGCGATCCTCGATGGACTTGAGGAACGCCTTCGTTTTCGGGTTCTCGGCGACCTTGCTGATACGCTCATCGGCCAAAAGAGCCCGCTGCATCTTGGCAAACTGTCGCCTCTTCATCCGGCGACGGGCCTCGCCGCCGTCGTCCTCGTCTGAGAGGTCATCCCAGTCGCCGCCTTCGCCGCGGGCGCGCTTGCGACGGAGCATTCCCGTGGTGATATCATGGAAAAGCTTCTCGACTTGCTTCTCGTCCGAGGCACGTTCACGGTCACTATCCTTTTGTTAGCTTGACTTCCACCTCATGAATATTCGGGGCAACTTACGCATAAAAGGCAGCCAACTTTCTCTCATCGCCCTCCCCAGCCTTCGTCTCATCATCAATCATCTCTTTGACCAACTCCTCATCCTCCTCATCACTACTACCCTCTCCATCTATGCCTCCCAACCCCGCATACTCATCCTCAGACTCTTCAGCCTGCTCTTCCACCATCTCCCTCGCCTTACTCTTCTTCTTTGCCTCCTTCCTCCTCTTCTCCCTTTCCGCAGCTCTCTTCATCTTCTCAAAGGCCGACTTGGCCTTCTCAGCCTCACGATCATCGTCACGAGCATCCCTCATCTCCTCATCACCGTCTCCTTCCTCCTCCTCATCCAAAGTCGACGCATTGAACAGTGCAGACCCAGTAATCACATCCCCCCTTCTTCTCAACCTCCCCAACGGCCTCTTTCCCGACGGACTATTCTCCCCAACACTACCAGCACTTCCGCTTCCACCAGGCGTCGAGTTTGAGGCAGTCATAAGCGAACCACTACTCCTATTCCCACCAACTAATACCGTCTCAACCGTCGAATGCGGCGGCAACGGCGCATCAACAAACCTCTGCTTCAACGGGGTATAATCCTTGTACCCCTGGTCTTGCGTCGGCTCAATCAGCTCCGACCCTTGCGTCATATTAAACGCCGGGTGGTTCAGCAAGCTGTCGAAGCCGTGCATCTGCGACTCGGACTGGGAGAAGCCGAGCTGGACGCCCTGGGTTTCCAATGCCGCCTGGGTCTCCTCCTCCTTGTCTTTGGCGGCCTGCGGGCGAGTAGGGAGGGAGGGTTGGCTGTCGAGGATCATATTGTCTTCTGGCTGCTGCTGGCCCGCAGTCTGGGAGAAGTTGGAGTCGGGGATGTCGGTGAGATCGATGTCGAAGGTCGGACGAGGTTGAGAGGGGGAACTACCGGCGAATTGGGAGGGAGAACCGGGCTGGCTGTCATCCATGGTTCCGGCGAAGATTTGGGTGAGGCCGAGACCGGCCGGACCGGCGACAGGGACTGGCAGGCCGGGGATGAAACTCTTGCGCGCAGAACGCAGGACAGAGGTGGGAACGCTGGGAGAGCCGGAGCGCAAGGCTGATGTTGGGGATTTGGGGAAACGCTGCTTTGGTCGGGGAGTTTCTTCGATGCGCTGCTTAGACGATACGACTTGCTCCCCCCCTCTTCCTCGTCGTCGTCGTCGTCGTCACAGAGAACAACAACCTGTTTTCGTGGCCGACGGCGGACAGTTTTGGTGCTAGGCAGCTCATCCTCGTCCTCGTCTTGTTTATCGGCGTTGTCTTCCCCAGACTCATCAGCGCTCTCATCAAAGAGTGCGCCAGCCGGATCAGCCTCAGCCATATTCTCATCCTCACCCTCATTCCCCCCTTCGCCTTCCTCTTCTTCCTCATCCTCTTCACTCCCCGAAAGCTCAATTGCCTCCAGCTCTTCCTTGTCATCATCCCCCTTTTCACTTCCCACATAACTCTCATCATCATCTTCACTATCATCCCACCCCAACGGATCCTCCTCCCCATTCTCCTTCCTCTTCCTCCTCTCCTCCTTCGCATCCTCCCTCTCCCTCTTCATAATCTCCTCCGCCTCCCTCCTCGCCCTGGCAACAATATCCTCCGCCTCCTGCATCTCCTTCGCCCTCTCCTCGGCAGTCAGGACTACCACGCCCTTGGCTCTTAGCATCTCCAAGTGCTCCTCACGCTCGCGCTTGGCTTGCGCTCTGGCGCGCTGGATAAGCGTCATCTCGAGCGCACCAGGCGTCATGGCAGGCGGCTGGTGCTTGGAGAGGTGTTGTTTGTTTTTGGGCAGGGGAGCGGCGGGGAGTTTCTCTGGGTCGTCGATGTGGGCGAGTTTGCGGAGGACTTGGAGGGGACGCGGTTCGCGGGTTTGGTTGAGGGGGACGCGGTCAAAGATGGCGTCGATCTTGGACTTGCGAGTTGGGGGTTTGACTTGTAGGTCATCATCTTCGTCGTCGTCGAGGGAGATGGTGTTGGCTTGGATAGAGGATGGTTGGAGCGGGAGTTTGACGCGGACGTTGCGTTTTACTTTGGGGAGGGAAGCGGTGACCTCGGCTTCGAAGTCGGCGGCGGTGGCTTTGCCTTTGCCCTTGTCGAGCTTCTTCTTTTGAGTGAGGGCTTGCTCGAAAGTGGGCAGTTCTCCGTCCGAGTTCTCTTGTATGAGGAGGTCGCCGGTGGATGTGGCGAGCTCTTCCACTGTCTTGTCGGGTTGCTTGTTTCCCACTGGAGGGGAGCTTGGTGGTGTCTCCTTCTCTGGCACCTTTTCTGTATCACTTGGCCGTGACGTCGCCGGCGACTCTGGCCCAACAGACTCTTTCGCTGGCTTTCCTGTAGTCGCAGCAGCGGCACCAGCAGGTCGAAAGTTGAACCTTTCAAATAGTGTGGCCTTGGTGATCTTGTTCTTGACTTTGGGTTCATGTGCCAGTTGTAGCTCTCTTGCCATGCGTTGTGTCTCCCTGTGCATTTCCTCAAGTGCCTTCTTGCTAGCCTTTCGTTGTGATGGCTTCTTTGTACCAGCCTTTTGTGTAAGCTTTCGGCCGCCCTCGTCGTCGGATATGTTGTTGTCGTCGTCCTCATCCATGGACATTCGGTCGTCAGCTGCCATTGCTGCCCGTCGTTCGGTCTTCTGTCGTTCTTCTTCGGCTTCTCTGGCCTCGCGCTCTTTGCGCTTCTTCTCCACAAGTGCCTGGAAGCGAGGGTTCTTCTGGAGGTTGCTGATGCTGGGGAACTCTTCATCGTCGCTTGCTAGCCCATCTCCAGGACGGCCCGAGGGTTTCGCAGGGGAGACAAAAAGGCCCGGGGAATCGGGCGCTTGGGCTGTCTGTTTCTCGGGAGAGACGAAGAGGCCGGGTGAGGCAGCGGTGGGTTCATCTCGTGGCTTGGGTTCGGGTGTCGCGGTGTTTTTTCGCTGTCGTTGCTGTAGCTTTCTCGGGCGGGTCATTACAATCTCGTCGTCATCTTCGTCATCGTCATCTTGGACGAGACTCTTGGTCACAGGGGGGTTCGCTGATGGTCGCTTCGGGGTATCATCTCTCATCTCTTGGTCAGATTCGGACTCTGATTCGGGAGCTGGGTTGCTCTTTGACTGCATTCCGGCAGCAAATCTGCCTCTTGGTCGCAGGATCTCCTCATCCACCTCGTCGGAGCTATCAGACATGTTGACATCTGACTGGTCAGCAGCCTTCAAGACTGGCGATGTCGGTGTTGCGCTACGCGATCCGGAAGCGCGTCCTGGCGAAGGCGAGGCCGAAGCAGCCATTGTGGCCGCTGGTGTGAGGTTTTGGGTATTAGTGTCGAGGTTGGGTTTTCTGCATCACGATCTCTTCCAGAAATGGCCGCAATAGGTAATTTCGAGAACGAGGATAAAGAGATACGAGCGAGATACCTCTAGGTATTCCCTTGTGGTGTAAGTGGTATGGTTCAGTTATCGCATCACTACCTATCTTTTAGTGATAAAGTGGGTTAATGGTTGTGATATGGTGGGGAAAACGCGTCAAATGGCGGCCCAGGGCGCGTCGTGCAGATCGAGTTCAGCGCGCTAAAGTGCTTCACTGCAGGGTTGCAGCAGGGTTCACTAAGGGGTTAAATTGCCAAGCCTGGACCAAAGTAAACATTTGGCGCCTCTTTGTTCCCAATTACCCCTGAATGCATATGTACATACATCAACATCATCGTGTTAACACCAGACTCAAAGCCTCCATGACACATTGACAGGTTCTTCTGAGAATCATCTAGCTTTTGGTCTAATGTAGCCAGATACAAGGCCAAAGGCACACTTCATAACCGTAGGTACTTCCCGCTGTACTTGTGTAGTGGCAGCCTATGCCATACCATTTCCAATACCACTTTGCTCGAACCCCTTGCAATTCATCGAGAGAGACGCGCCAAGAAGACAAAGATGATTTCGGGTATCGTCGGTAGAGAATAAGAAAAAAAGAAAAAAAGACCAATAATACAACCAAAGAGATAAACGCTCTGTCTCTTTCTCCTGCAAAGGGATCCGGCATCCAGTGCTCTTCACCACCTTTCCAACTCCTCAAAGAACCATATAGTAACAAGTGACATGCCCATAGGTCAGAAACTCAGGCAGCAACCTACCTGTGCTTTTTCAAAGGGAAAAACGCCGCCGCAGAGTATGTTGAATGCAGAGAAAAAAGCTGCCCAGTCATCTTATGTAACGCCAGTCGCCCTTTGTGTAAAATGGAATCCCCCCATGTATGTGCCCCAAGTATTAGCCCACGGCGAGGCATGTATCCAAAACGCTGTTGAGAAAGTCCCCATCCTCCGAGCCTGCGCCTTCCCAAGGCATGTCATCATCGTCGTTGTCAAGTTCCATAGCATCCTCGTGATTGACGCCATTGGGTAATGGCCCATCTGGTTTGCCGTTGGCCGCCATTCCGCCCATCTCCACATCTCCGTCGCTAGTCGGTCGTACTTCCCGCCCGTCAATGTACGTGTGATCGTCCCAGTTTTCGAGCTCCCCTTCCCGGTAGTCGTAGATGACCGACTTGGCGACAATGGGAAAGTTGGCTAGTCCGCAGTCACCCATCTCCAGCGCTATGCGGAAATCCGCCATGCCCAGAGGCCCACGCTCGCTGGCGGCTTTAGCTTCCACGGGCAACAGGCCGCTCTTATCGCGTGTTACCTCGCCCCTCTGAAAAGCCTCTTCTTCCTTCTGCAACTTGCGTCGGTACTTGTGTGTTTGAATCCAAGCGTTACCCGCTCCGAAACCGGCGTTACCAGAGTCTCCGGGGCCGTTACTCCTCGTTCGGCTGAATATAGAGGACATGACTTGCTTGATGAACGTTTCCGTGGCTATCGACATGAACTGGGCGGCTTCTGGCGCGTGTCCGCCCGAGAGGCCGGCCTCGTAGCATATGGGAAGCATTTTGGCCTCGATGTTGCTGACATCGGGGAACTCTCCGGACTCGACAGCCAGCGGCTGTGCATATCGTTTCCTGATTTCTAGATCGTAGTCTGTAAAGAGAGAGGCAAGGTTAGTAACCGCTCCTGTCGTCGCGTGGCTAGTCGAAAACTTACTCATCCGGCTGAGACCTCCTGCGGCACTTGCTGGTACCTCGGCAGTCTTGATGGACTTGTTTCTGGAGTGGTCAATGAACACGCTAGACAGGGACTCGTAGGGGTCGAACTGCATCAAAAGCTGTTAGTGGTCCGGCCGAAACAAGCTGGCGTCGTGTTTCACATACGTCGTTGTGGGCGAGGTCTTTGATACGTCTTCTGTCCCTGCTGGGAAGTTGCATGACCTCTCCCTTCAACCGTCTTTCGGCGGCATCACCCGACACTGGCTTGCTCGACGTGTTGGTTGAGGGTTTATCGTTTGCGCTGACCCAAGGCGCAAGGCCCTGGTCAGGCATTTCTCGAGTGACATTTCCGTATATAGCAGCGATGAGCTGGTTATGAAGGTGCTCTTTGGTACCATCGGGAGAGGCCAATATTGGGTCGATGCGCGCGCTGAGCTCGGCTTGGTTGAGGCGACCTACAAAAGGATATCTGTTAGTCCCGGGGCATGTCGAGGGCAGTCGGTCTGAGGGGAAACCAACCAAGCAGAAAGTTGCCAACGGCTTCCTTGTAGACCGTCCATTGTTCTAGACCAATGTTTGCCCTGAGAGCAGTATAGATAGGTTCGAGGTCAATGCGGGCCGGGATGAGTTGGCTAGTCTTTGGCTTTTGTAATGGAGGAATGGAAACATTGATGGATTTTGTAGCTAGAATAGGAGTCGAGATGTTGACGGATGGCCGACTGAGGGCCGCGGGATTTATGTCGACCATGTTGGCAGGTGTGGCTCTTCACAGAGCGGTTGTAGATGTGTCGGTCTGGAAATGCCGTCGAGGTCGAAATCCGGGCCGGGACCGGAACCGGAACCGGAAGAGGAGGGCAGACTGTGTGTGACCTCGGCGAAGAAGGAGAAGGATGATTCCTGGCGTCCTCCAGAAAGAACCTCGGGAGGTCGGACCACTCCCCCAAGCAGAAGAAAGTTGAGGCTGATAATGGTTTCCCTCCTTGCGAGCAAGGACTCTTCTCGTTGGTAATGGGCGCTTCCCTTGGAATATGAAGCCCCTGCCTGCGAATGGCGTCAGTCCCGGACAGTCGCGTGCGAAGCAACAGCACAATTGCGACGCGGGAATATGATCATCTGGGCCTAAAACCGTCGGCCAACACTATGAGATGGCAAATATGGGCTTAGACTGATGGATTGAGCATCCTGTCGTCGACAAATGGATTGGCGTATCAGATCGACAAAGGCTGGTTGTTGGACGGTTGGAAGTCTGAATCGAGAGCCACGGGAGTTCGCTGCTCCTCCTTTGGTGGTCAAGTCACTTTCCGGGTTGTTGGACTTTGCGAAAGAGTTCTGAAAAGAGCGCTGAAAGATGCACGCTAAATTAACCTAGGTACAGGCGCAACATGGAACTATTGAGCCCAGGCGCCCGTTGTTGGGGGCCCGGGTGGTACTGAGGTGCCTGCCGCCTACAACCGGGCAGGGCAGTGTGTTTAACCGTTCAGGGAACTGCCGTGGGAGCGCTGGAAAGAACCACCATGGTCACCAAGTGCAACTTACCTAGGTAGCCCAGGTTCAGTACCAAGTTTCCAACAAACAACAAGTGGAAGATCAACACCATCACCGTCTGTCGCGTCTTGTAGCGCGTCCCGTCCCCTCTCCGGCCGGCAACACCCCTCAAACCAAACCAAACCAAACCCACCTGCGCTACCACTTTGCATCATTTGTGTTACGAAATTCGAGCAAGCAAACGAAACCTGAAGAACCAAAGGACGGAGAAAAAAAAGATGTGATGGGCATACAACTGGACGCCGCCAATTCCACCCGCCCCCAGACAATGCAACAATGGCTAGCCGACAGCAGGAACACCGAGCCCAGAAGATCTCCAGCGCCATCGACAGCCTCATAGCCCACCTGATCCCCGAAAACCCCTACGACGACGACCAGACCGCCGAGCTTCGACACGACGACTATGCCTCAGCCGTCAAGGCTCTTCTCGAACAGTAAGGAGGATTGCTCCAGCAACGGACAACAACAAAACAAACATTGCTAACTCTCTCTGCCTTTCTCCCCAAACCAGACCCTCCTCGCCAAGCTACGATGCCGACGTCAACAATGCCTCCGACTTGATCAAGAGAAAACTGATCCAGGGAAACCCAACCCAGGCACTGCGCTTCTCCCACCTCTACACCCGACTACTCTCCCTCCCGGTGCTCAACCAAAAGTGGGCCATCCTCTACTTTCTATACCAGCTCTCGGACTCGCCAGATCCCAATGAGCCCCTCCCGTCAAGTCCGCTTGCCCGACAGCAACCTCATTTCGACCCTCAGTTTCACCCCCAGATCCAGGCGCAAACACCTCCCCAGCCGTCAGCATGGCCTGCCGAACCCAGGATCCCGGCATATGACGAGGTTCAGGATGAGGAGGTCATGGAGGATGCCCCCTCTCCCGAAGGCTCTCACAATCTCCCCCCAGAAAGGCCAAGACGTGGTCGAGACCAAGGTCAGACGCCTACCCAGAGTCACCAGGCTGGTCCTGCTTCAAGAGACGAAAGGGATGTGGCGCACGACCCTTCGGAGCCGGCCTTGTTAAGGGATCTGCCCTTCACCCTTCAGGGCCTCTCATCGGCAACTCTCCCCTTTCTCAACGACACAACGCTGAGGCTACCACCAACGCTTCCTATCCCCATCATCTCTCTTCTCAACACACTGGCTGAGCCTTCGCTTCTTTACCGAGGACTGAACGAGTTTACCAAAACGCCGGCAAATGGATTACTGGGCCAGAGTCTACGGGCTGCCATCAGCAAGGAGCTTCGGTCATATTTGACTCTGGTGGCTACCCTGGAGACCCAAATTCGCCGCGCTCTCTCTGAGCTTGACGAGTCTGCTCCCCGTGGTGGCATTGGAAAAACGGGCGTTACGCTCAAGCGATGCGTGGTATGGACCCGTGAGGCTACTATGGGCTTGCGCCTCATGTCTCTGATTGCCGAGGAGAGCAAGAATAAGCATGGTGGGCAACTGATCACCCTGATTCACAGCTTCTCGTCTTCACACGGCGATCCCGTCGTAGCTGCTTTTGCTGAGCGCTTGCTTGTTGACGTCACCCGCCCATTCTACGATATCCTACGCCGCTGGATTTATGACGGAGAGCTCCTCGATCCCCATATGGAGTTCTTCGTTCGGGAACAGAACCCCCTCGATGAGGAGAGGAAAGACGCCAAAGCTAAGGGCCAAATGAGTGTCTGGAACTCCAAGTATGAGCTTGTTGAGGACATGGTTCCGAGTATTATCACACGCAACTTTGCTGACAAGGTTTTCCTCATCGGAAAGTCCCTCAACTTCATCCGTCACAGCTGTGGTGATCACAAATGGGTCGAGGACTACAGTAAAAATGCGTCCAGGGAGCTCAAGTATGGTGACACAGCTACCCTAGAAGCCTGGATTGACGAGGCACACAGGGAGACCATGAGCCATCTTATGCGCCTCCTAAATGATCAATTTCGTGTTTTTGATCATCTAGAGGCGCTAAAGCGGTATATTCTGCTGGGGCAGGGTGATTTTATTGCCCTGCTGATGGAGTCGTTGGCTCCTAACCTAGATCGGCCAGCGGGCGCCCAATATCGACATACACTCACTGCGCAGCTTGAGCATGCCATCCGAGGCTCGAACGCTCAATATGATGATCCAGAAATCACCAATCGCCTGGATGCTCGTATGCTTCAGCTTAGCCATGGTGATATCGGCTGGGACTGCTTCACGCTCGAGTACAAGATTGACGCGCCCGTGGACGTCGTTGTTACCGAGTGGGGCAATCGACAGTACCTCAAAGTCTTCAACTTCCTTTGGCGTATCAAGCGTGTCGAGTTTGCCCTGGCCTCGACCTGGCGCAAGTGTATGACTGGCGCCCGCGGCGTTCTCCAGACGTCGGACGAAACGGTGCTTCAGACATGGAAGAGCACCCGGGGCGTCCTCGCCGAGATGGTCCATTTTGTCGGCCAATTACAGTACTACATCCTCTTCGAGGTCATTGAAAGCAGTTGGACCGAACTGCAAAAGAACATTCACAAGGAGAACTGCACGCTCGACGATCTAATAACTGCCCATACCAAATACCTCACATCTATCACACATAAGGGTCTACTCGGTGCCAAACGACGACAGTACCCGCAGACAGGCGACCCTGTCTCAGCATCTTCCACGACCGACGAAGATCGTAACTCCTACATGGTCCAGCTAAGCGAGCTGCTCCGGATAATGCTCGCCTACAGAGACAGCGTAGACGGTCTTTACAGCTGGTCCGTCTCCGACTTTACGAGACGTCAGGAGAAGGAGACAGCCGGGCTGATCTACTCGCACCGCGGCGGGAGCACCCGAACCACGACGCGAGACCGAGCCGATTCCCAAGCTGCGTCGTCCATGGCTGACTCGATGGATCTCGATCCGCCATACGAGTACTTCGACGCCGCGGCGACCAGTGACGCGGGATCAGTTAAGAGCGAGTTCCCAGCGTTGCAGGACCGGTTGAAGCAATTGGGCGCCAACTTCAAGACCAGGTTGCAAATCCTCTTGGGAGATTTGGCGTACCAGCCGGATGTGGACATGCGATTCTTGGGAGTGTCGATGAATTTCAATGATGTGTATCAACCTGTGAGGAGGAAGACGAAGACCTCGTCAAGTGCCGTCCCCACTGGTGGAGCTGCCTCTGTCGCTTCGGGGGCATCGTCGGTAGTGGGCGCTCAGGGACAATCTCAGGCTGGGGGGAGTGGTGGGCAAGGTGTTGCGGGAGGAGGGACGACTTTTCGTGGGACAGATACCTCGAAGGCCTAGGCGGCATGTGGATCTGACACGAGCGAGTCGAGTAGGGGACCAAGGTATTTGTACCGGAACCGGTGACGACAGATAATAGGTATACCACTAGTTGTAGGATGGGAAGTACCGCGGGGAATGAAACCGGACATGATAGCGAACATTGGAAGAACGGTTGACAATTTGTGGACCTATCGTGACCGAGCATTAACCTACTGACTAAATCATATTTAGCCAAAGCCTAAGGCGTATTTGACGGCAAAGACATTGGTAATGGCTTCGACATCGAGGAGACAGAAACCTGGATGCTGGGTGGTTACTTATGTGGAACATAAAGCATACTCACCCATCAAAGCGGGTTTAGCTCAGTTGGGAGAGCGTCAGACTGAAGTCCACTTCACTCATAAATCTGAAGGTCGTGTGTTCGATCCACACAAACCGCAACGCAATCTCTTTTTTACATTTTGCCCATCTTGTCTCTTTCTTTTTGTTTGATGTAGACACGAAACGTCTTTCTTTTCGGACGGCATTTCGATCTTGCTATGTGGCTGACTGGAGGAGATTTTGAAGGAATAAGTACTTTTAACCACCGAAAAAACTTGATTTGCAAACCAAAGTCAGAGAAAGACAAGACGGAAAGTTGTTGTATACCAGATAATCCTCTTGCATCTTCCCCCACCCCCTTTTAAACTCTCTCTCCATAAACGCTTGCTGCTATCACACAAGATATTATGCTTACCCTGTTTCTGTACCCTCGGCTCTTATCTTTAATTCCACACACCTTGCTTATCATCCCATCCTCTCTTCCTCTCTTCCATTTCATCGCACAACCTCATTCACTCACTACCACCCACCCTCTCCCACGCCCTTCTCAATCTCCTCAAAAACTTTTACCCCCTTCAACAACAACCCACTCGCCAACCCAACCACATCCGCGCCCGCCATCCTCATCCTCCTATACCCCTGTGCATCTAGCACCCCTCCCACCCCAATTACTTGTATTTGATGCCCCAGCTTTTCTACCCTTTCATCCAACATTTTTCTCAGAGTCTTGACATTCCCCAATGCCAACGGATGTAACGGCGCCCCTGCTAGTCCGCCTGTTCCCAACTCGGTTGGTAATGCTTCTTGACTGTAGGTAGAGTCCTTTGTGGAAGGTGTAAAAGCTGTAAAAGCAAGACAACTGCCGAGGGTGTTGGTTGCTGTGATGAAACTGATTGGACATTGTGGTTCTTTGTTTTCTTCTTCTTCTTCTTCTTCTTCTTCTTCTTCCTGCTTTTCCTTTTCGTTCCTCGTCGAAGTTGAAAGCGAAGCCGCCCCCGACGCAGAAGCCGAAACCTCCAAAGCCTCCATCAACCCCAGGAACTGCGTCTCGTAGGTATACGGCGGCGTCTTCAATCCCACTGGAATTCTGGGTAGGCCCTCAGCTTCCGCAGCCTTGATGGCGCCAGCGAGGGAATCGAGGTAACGGATCAGCGCGTCGCGGGAGTAAGCGGGAGGCGGATGGTGCGGGATGTTGGGGCACGAGAGGTTGATTTCCATTGCCACTTTTACCCCAAAAGAAAGAGAAGTGGAAAGAAATAATACCGATTGGAGACGGGCAATGTGCAGGTAACATTGGGCTACGTCCTCTGCGGAACCGGTGACGGAGATGATGATTGTTTTACTCCTGCTGCTGCTGCGACCATTGTTGTTGTTGTTGGGAGGAGGAGGAGGAGGATGGAACGTGGTAATGGTCTGTATAAAGTTGAGGTAGGTTTGGAGAGGTAAAGGGCTGTAGCCGAGGGAGTTGAGGGTCGCGTTGTGAGTGGGAGTTGCTGATGAGGGGGAAGAAGGGTTGGTAGAAGATGAAACGGTGTGGGAGGAGGAGTCATAGAAGACGTAGAGGTTCTTGGTGTCGTCGTGGGGGAAACCGGAGGGGAGTGAGGTGCGGGTGGTTATGGCGCCGGTGGAAGGACAGTTCCAGAGGATGAGGAGGTCCTCGAGTGTCGTTGCTGCAGGACAGGGGGTGTTAATGAGGGGCGGGTAGATGTCGAGTTTTGGGATTGTCATTTTGGTGGTGTTGGTTCGTGTGAGGTTCTGTGAAGGTGTTGGAGTGCTCGTCATGAAGGACTGGGTTGACAGAGGGATATAAGCGAGAAGCTGTCGAGATATCAGAACCTGGGTCGTTAATCGAGTTAACTATACCTCTAGACCTCGATTTATACCCAGCGGGGTTAGACAGCGTTTGATAAGATAACAGGACACGGAATAACCCCGCTCGGGGTGCTTATAGGTAGCTGAAGCTCGTTCATGTTATACGAGAAGATATCGAGCTCAACAGCTGGCCGAAGTCTGATAACACTTCCTCCAGGAAAGTCAAGGGGCAACATATAAACAGATTCTGGTTGGGTATATACTCTATCTTTTCTTCATTGGTATCCAAGGCATGAAACTTAGAACATGTCGTCAATAGCCTTGTCCGAGTCTTTCTTGATCAACTCGACCATGCCCTGTTCAACAGTTAGTTATATGTTTCCTCCATTCGTCAACGACTTCTTTGCAAGGACTTACCGCAGGCATAATTGGCTTGCCCTCCTTGTCAGTGACATAGCGGAAGGGCATCTGTGTGCTCTCGTGCTCGCTGAACTTGAGCTCGGGGTGGTCGACGTAGGGAATCTTGTCGACGGGGGCTGGGAAATGTTAGTGACAATTCCGCAACGGGAACGGAGTGTGTCTCAAAAGCTGAAGAGCAACAGTGGAGAGAACAAAGAGCTGAAGGTGAGGAAATCCAATGACAAGGAAACCGTCTGAGAGTAACTTACTCTTGCCCTCAACAACCAGACGAGTGACACGGACAGCAGTGTCAGTGGTCATCTGCACGGGGCCGAGACGGCGACCCTCGAAGCCCTTCTTGCGGAGCTCAGAAGTTCTGTCTGTCTTGCTTGTTAGTAGCCAATTTCACTAAGAGATCGATATCCGGGACTGAGTTTACCTCTCGGGGGGTCGTCACCTATAACACCACGCAATCAGCATCCATCAATTGTCAAGAACTTTCCATCTCAGAGCAAGAGCAAGAACAAGACATACCCAAAATACCGCCAAACAGGAAAACATCAAAGGTCTCGCCATCCTCAGGGCTCAAGTCCTTCTTGGCCGCGGGATCAAGCAGGCAGACCCTGCTCTTGTCAGCAGCATAGATCTCCTCAACACCACGGTTCTCAGCCTTGAAGGCCGGCACAGCGGCCAGGGCCTCGGGGACCTTGAAGCCCTGGGGCAGGGAAGTCAGATGGAACTCGGAACCGATCTCTTGCGATTCCTTGGCGATAGCGAGGTACTCGAGCTCGGACCAGGGGCCCAGCTCCTCATCGAGGTGCTCGACGATGTAGGTCTTCTTGGTGGCGGACATTGCTACGGTAGCGGTAGCTGAAGCAGGAATTCAAAAACCGACTCAAAAGGTTGTGCTGGGATCAAGATATTCAAGAATATCAAAAGGACCAAGTGAGGGTTAAGTTTGTGTGTAAGTGTTTGGACGATCTCCAAGGCCAAGACTAACATTTTCTTGGTGGAGCTCGCTGATGGCTTGGTGGGGTTCTCCGTGCCAAGACATGCCGTAACGGTGATCGAGTTCGGCGATCCGGGCCCGGGTTGCCTTGCCCGTTCTCGGAAGCCGGCCCCGCAATGTCTTATATCATCATTCCGGCAGAGGTCCCGGCGGTAGGGGCTGTCCAGACCGGAGGATCGTGTACATGTCTGATTGTTATGTCTAATTGTTGTCTCATACACCTGGGGAGAGTGTGGATGAACATGTAATCGTATATACGAGGAGCTCACGCTTGACTGCCGAGATGAGTCGTGCTCGCGGACAATCGCTCGGTTGTTCAGGTCTGGGCAGATTTTATGAGCGGCTGTCCAGTTCCTGCCGATATCCGGATTCAGAAACTCTCGCCTGATGTTTTCCTCTAAAGCTGCTCTTTGTCAATCATCAGGGAGTAAAGTTAGTTGTCGAAGAGGTTTACACTCTGTCAAGTCGTGTTAGTGGCTGAATAAGGGGCTGTTTATTCACATCCAGATGCGGTGCCTGAAGATCTGGAAACAACCTTGGAAGCTCTCATTGCGAGTAAGTTGGGGTGTAGTTAGAACTTTGTCCACAGTTGCATAGTTATACGACAAGTTCTCGAAGCATTATAATATAGCAGACATAGACATAAAGAATGTCATCTTTCGATAGCGACATTGCTTAGGTTGGAAAGTCAAAGGAGGGAAAATGGAACTGGCTTGCGCGTCCATCCACGAGGCATGGACTGAGTGACTGCATGGAAAGACCAGGCCCCCCAGCTATGTGTTAGGCTAGCATACCGGGATCGCCCAATACCACTAACAGGGTCCCTTACTTGTAATGAGATTGCCCCCTGTGAGGTCTAGCTGAAATGGAACGCCACTATCCGTGCCGCAGTGGCATTCATCCCACGTTGTATTGTCCGTCCGTCCCAAGGACAGATTCCCTCTTTACCGTTTCATGAATGGATGCTGTCTCGGAGCAACATCTCGAAAAGTTCCTACAACTCTTGCCGTTGCCGTCGGCCCTCTTCTATCCTCCCCCATGAACGTGGTTGGTGGTGATAGGTAGCCAAACTTACGACAATTGTCCCCCTCCTCCATCCCACCCACCACAACTGAACCCAAGCGACTTGAGTCCAGTTGGTGATCATGGCCGCCACCACCACTGCCACCAATGCTGGCCGGTCTATGGCTAGCTGGAAACGACTGTCGACTCTGATCGTGGCCTTCACGCTGTCATGGACATCCAGCTTCGTCGCCGCTGCTGGCTCCGCCGATTACTTTGTCCATGATCTACCAGGCGCACCAGATGGTCCTCTGGTGAAGATGCATGCCGGGTAAGTTCACTGTTGCTGCGAAACCGACATGTTGGGGAACACCAAGGCTGACATGTTCTCACAACCAGACATATCGAGGTCAACCCTGACAACAACGGCAACCTATTCTTTTGGCACTTCCAGAACAAACATATCGCCAACAAACAACGAACCGTCATCTGGCTAAATGGTGGTCCTGGTTGCAGTTCCGAGGATGGCGCATTGATGGAGATTGGTCCATACAGACTGAAGGACGAGAACACCTTGGTATACAACGATGGTGCATGGAACGAGTTCGCCAACGTCTTGTTTGTCGACAACCCCGTCGGTACTGGCTTCAGTTATGTTGACACCAACGCCTATATCCACGAGCTGACCGAGATGGCCGCCAACTTTGTTACCTTTTTGGAGAGGTGGTTTGCTCTGTTCCCAGAGTACGAGCATGACGATGTAGGTGCCACACTCTGAACCTCTTCGATTCGTTCTGTCTAACCGATTTCTCAGCTTTACATTGCCGGAGAGTCTTACGCCGGTCAGCACATTCCCTACATCGCCCAAGCTATTCTTGAACGTAACAAGAACGCTGGTCCCGTCAATCGCAAATGGAACCTCTCGGGCCTCCTCATCGGCAACGGCTGGGTTTCCCCCAAAGAGCAATACGACGCCTACCTCCAGTTCGCCTACGAGAAGGGCATCGTCAAGAAGGGTACCGACCTCGCCAACAAGCTCGAAATCCAACAGCGTATCTGCCAAAAGGAAATCGCCGTCAAGCCCGACAAGATCGACTACCCCGAATGCGAAGCTATTTTGCAAGACATGCTCCAACTGACTGCTGGCGGCGTCGGCGCCAGCGGCAAGAACCAATGCTACAACATGTACGACGTCCGCCTGAAGGACGACTACCCCTCGTGCGGCATGGCCTGGCCCCCCGACCTCAAGAGCGTAACCCCCTACCTCCGCAAGAAGGAAGTCATCAAGGCCCTCAACATCAACGAGAACAAATCTACCGGCTGGACTGAATGCAACGGCCAGGTAGGCATGAACTTCAACCCCAAGACCAAGCCGTCCATCACCTTGCTTCCCGACATCCTCTCCGCCGGCGTTCCCATCCTGCTCTTTTCCGGCGCCGAAGACCTCATCTGCAACCACCTGGGCACCGAAGCCTTGATCTCCAACATGGAATGGAACGGCGGCAAGGGCTTCGAACTTACCCCGGGAACCTGGGCGACGCGGCGCGACTGGACGTTCGAAGGCGAACCGGCCGGCTTCTGGCAGCAGGCGCGCAACCTCACCTACGTGCTCTTTTACAACTCCAGCCACATGGTTCCCTTCGATTACCCCCGCCGCACGCGCGACATGCTGGATCGGTTCATGGGCGTGGATATCAGCAGCATTGGCGGACAGCCCACGGACTCGAGGCTCGACGGGGAGAAGTTACCCGAAACGACGGTCGGTGGCGCAGCAGGGAATAGCACGAGCAACCAAGCGGCCGAGAAGGCCAAGCTGGAGATGGCCAAGTGGGAAGCCTACCGCAAGTCAGGCGAGCTGGTTCTGGTGATTGTCATTGTTGCTGCGGGCGTGTGGGGATGGTTTGTCTGGAAAGACAGGAGAAAGACTGCTGGGCAGGGGTATATGGGTGTTGCTACGGGCGAGAGACATAGCATTTCTACCAACCCGGGACCTCGTGGAAATCTTGGTAGCGGAGATAGGACGAGGGGTCAGGGATTGGCAGGTTTCAGGAATAAGAGGAGCGGGAGGAGGGATGTTGAAGCGCAGGATTTTGACGAGAGCGAGTTGGATGATTTGCATTTGAGCAAGCCGGAGGACCCGCATGCGGATAGTAGGTATAGCATTGGTGGCGCTAGTGATGATGAGGAGGAGCAAAAACCGGGGAAGGGTAGTTCTAGTAGGCAGCCTGGGGGGAGGTCGTGATAAGTTAGTGGTAGCTTTGGGTGAAATGTTGACTTGGTTATTCTTATAGACTTTTGGCGTTTCTGATATCCTTGGCAGGCAAGCTGGTACGAGTTTTGGATTGGGTAATTCTTGATACAGAAAACACCATACATATGCGCACAGGACCAACGGTACTACTATATACACAGGCATCTAACCTCAGCGCGCCATACAATACCATTACATAAAAACACAAGTCACGAAGACGTGATGTTAAGGCTTCAGGCAATTTGTGTACCCTCTTATCTTGAGACTGATCTGCACATTGAACCATTCCAAATTGACGTAAAGACATCAACACCTCTTTTCCATGATTGCAAATCCTGTGTCCCTTTAATCAGGAGGGACCATACACGGTGAAGAACACTTTTTTGTGAATCAGATTTGACCCGAAAAGCATCGATGTGAAGACTATCATAATGCAACTAACGTAAAAAGAAGAAGAAAAAAAAGCATCTCAGGACGTATATCTATCCTGAATCTAAAAAAGCAAATTTCATAGCCGGGTATCTTGTTGCGAAATCGTCGTGTGTCAGGCCTTCCTTTCATGCTGGTGATAATTTGGCGCTGAACTGTTTCGTTCCACTTTCTCATTTGGCATCCAACTGTTTTTTCTTTTCCCCCCACATCACAACTGCGGCACGTTGTTGAGGATCGACACCTCCTCGCCGACCTTGAAGGGTGGGAGACCTAGGTATGGGCAGCCTGTATTTACACTTTTGTTAGCCATACATTCTCTATTCCTTGTCTAAAAGACAAAGCTGGGAGGGAAGAGAAGCTGAAGGACAACATACCAGCACACCTGAAAGCATCTCCCAACGCACAACTACCACAGCTCCCCGTCTTTCCGGGAACCGTCAGATCCAGCTCCAGCAAGTCCTCGCTCTTGAGCTTGAGCGTGTTCAGCGCCTGGTCCGCCTTCTCCCTGCGCGCCTTGTCCTCCGCCTCCAGCCGCTCCGCCAGCCCACACGTGCAGTCCTTGCACGCCCTCCTCTTCTTGCCCGGCTTGGGCTGGCACTCGGGCGGCTGCTGGATGGGGCGGCGCAGGTCCGCTTCCGTGAGGAGTGTGTCCTCGTCAATCACGTCGTCGTCGTCGTCGTCGTCGAGATCGAGATCGTCGTTCAAATCGAGCGTGACGAAACCGACGCCGGCTGGGGCGGCAGTGACGACTTGGGCGACGGGCTGGATGGGCGCAACAACGGAGTTGGGGTTGGTCTTCCTCTTGAGGCCAAAACGCAACGGCACGGCTTCCTCCTCGGCGTAGTCGGGCTTGGTGAAGCCATCGGCGCCGGCGACGAGACCGGCTAGCACGGCCTCACGGGCCTCAGGGGTAGCGGTGTTTGTGCCGAGGGTGCCATCTTCGCTGCGCAGATTGCCGCCGGCCTTGAGGGCGGGGACGAGAAGGGACCACACGGCGCGGTTACTGAGCAGGGCCGAGGCTTCGGCATGACGGCTGCCGTCCGGGTCGGTCAAAACGAGGATCAGGTCGTAGGTGGATGCGGGGAGGGTGACGAGACCGGCGGCGAGTCGGTCGAGCATGTGCAGGTCGGTGGTCTCGCGGGGGTAGGTGGAGAAGAGGGCGCTGATGCGCTCCTCGTGGGAGGCGACCGAGGGCGGCGCAACGAGGAGGGTTCTGGGTTGCGACGACGACGACCCCGCGCCCGTGGTGTTGGCGGGGTTGAAGTCGGATGTGAGATCGAGAGTTATGGGCGACATGGTGGTGGATGATGGCGGGGTCGTTCGTCTGGGGAAGATGAAACAATGCGGTGCCCTGTCTGGCTGCTACTCGGGGCAGCGAATTGGGAAAAAGAAAACGAAAATGTACGAGTCTTTTGTTGTTATTGTTGTCGGCGAGATCGAGTCTCTGTCTCTTCTGGTCCCGCGGAATTGCAAGATTGAGAATACAGTCGATTCTCCGATAAGACAAACAGCGATGTGATGGTGGATTGCAACAATTTGATATGCATTCGATTAGAAATACACAGTGTAGAGATTTTGGGCCTGCAGGTTTCGACAACGAAATGTAAGATCTGCATTACAAATCTTTCGCCACTACGGATCCTCATGTGCGAATTGGATTAAAAACTGTGCATTGGCCGAGAAGTCAGCGCAAATAGTGCGTGCGAATTTAGTCAGCAGACAGTGTTGGCTTAACAGCTGAGTGAGATGGTGACATCGATTCACTGACTGAACCACACTGCAATGGCTCTCGGGCGGATTTGCCGATGTCGGACAGCCCCAAAAACGGAGTTGCTTTGACCGACAACCGTACGACGAAAGCACACTGCCGGAATGTGAAAGTGAGTTGGCCATTTCGTTGGTTCTATGAGAAGGGCTGTATAGGTTCAAATGGTTTATATATATATATATATATATATCTTGCAGTGAGCGTTGTTTCCCCTTTCGCATCATGCGGTGGCAGGTCGGGAGAGATCCCCGGCCGACATCATGCCACTTGATCTCCCGTTCAGCTCAGGTCCGCGGTCCGCCGTTGCATTGTCGGGGATATCCAGGTACGGCATAGAATTGAAGACTCTCTCACCCTGGTTTGATCGTTGGCGTAGTGCACTGCTTTGAGACCTCTACACTACCTAGACACTTGTCCTCCTCAAGCATAGCGCCAGGAAGGAATCATACCATCGGAATATAGAGGGATGGACGAGAAGTCGCGATGCCATATCTACTGTGGTACACAACGGCATCTGCCCAAGTGTTAATATGAGGGTCTATCTGATGATATTTCCACGTCAAGGCGAAATACGTTTTGGACAGCTTGTCCATTTCAGCTGGTGACTAAAGACATGGTTCATGTCCCGAGGATAAAATGGCTGGTGTTGAGGCTGTATCGAGTTCTGGACCCTTCGATGACGAAGTTGTCGACACAGTCCCCAGTTGAGTCATTGAAGGGTCCGAGTTGGGTTGCCTGACGCCAAAGGAAGGAAGGCCGAAGGACAGACCTGCGATAAGGTTGACGAATTAACGAATCCAATCACGGGCGGGGACGAGTTTCGAATCTGGCCTGATTTTTTTCGGAAGCTTCCACCTGCTGCAGTGGATGGTCACATACATAAAGAGGGCCCCGGACGTTCGTGAACCGTGACTGAAAAGTTCGTGAGTCTCGTCGTCCAAATTTGCTTCATCCGAATTGCCATCTCTGACACCGACATGGCCTTGATATCCAAGCTATCTATCCTCGAGAACGGACAGGAAGGTTCCAAAGCGAATTGACGATTTGGCAGGCCTGGAAGGGTTGAAGCAATTCGACGCTAAACCGTGACAGGCTTGGCGCCGGCTTTGTGCTCCATACCCCGCAAAATCAGCACCACGGTGCAACGCAATCGGAAGTCCCTGAGACGTGCAGGTGGGGAGCTCTGATGTCACCCGCATTGGTTGCATCGCTAAGGGGAGTCCCGTCCTGTCAGTGCCTGTCAGCTGTGTCTAAACGGACTGTGCTGCTGTGCGAAAGGCGCACCAGCTTACAAGTACACCCCGTCTTGATAAAAACACCAGATGCCACATCTTGGGATGACTTGGCCAACAAAGATGCAATGACATAGATATAGGAGGGCGATACATATGACTTTACAAAAATCCACATTTCAGTGGCAGTGTTGGTTTTGTTGACTTGGCGGGTTCGTATAAGTGAAGCACAGTCCCAATAACAATGACCTATCTCCGACCTCCACCTCCCCACAGCTGTCAGGGAAGGTGGGGAGATGTGGGTGTGTCCTTCAACTTCTCGATCTCTCAAGTTGAGGAATCCGGATCTTGATATGGATTGGACAAGATGGAGAATGAGCTTCAACCCGAGCTGTAACTACACTACGCCAGATAAGAGCAGATGGTTGTCAACAGGCCGGGGGTAAAAAAAGCCATCATATGCAAATCGCTGGGTGATTTGCGAGGCAATTGGGAATAGCAAAGCGGGGGACTACTTCATCACGTCAACACGTCTACATACGGTACTGACACTTTTGGAGATTTGGTCACCACAGCTCAGAATGGTGAAATTGGATGGTTGAGATTCGGCATTGGAGCTTGAGACTGACTTGTTTCCAAGATGGAGACCTGGACTTTAACAAAGAACTGGACGTGGGCCCCGCCTTCCCCGTTGAGCTGGGCAAAACGGGCAGTCTGGACAGGTCAGGTCAGTGTCATCGACTGTTGCATCAAGTCGCGTGACTCCATACCCGCGGTCCTCCTCACCGATCTCCCCACCACTGTGACTTCCCAAACAGTAGCCGCAGAGCAGATCGTAGGTGCGAGCAACTTCGTACCTCGACCCCTCTTCGACGATGACTCCTTGTCCCTTCTCATTGGAAGGTTCGGGAGCTTGCCTTCCACTTATAAGAAGAGATGCCCCCATCTCTCCATCCCAACGTTTCTTTCAACATTCACACTCATCACAACAACATCTACCACTAATTACTTACGCATTACTGGTATCACTAGTGCATACTCGACTTTTCCAACCATCTCTTCCTTACTCTGTTTACAATAATACATCATACCCGAACCTTCCATCTTCACTACATCTTGTAATAGTCGACTTCTTTCCACTCTTCCATATCTGTGACATCACTCCACTCAACACATTCACACAACTGTGAGTTACACATCCCGGTTTCCTTTCCCTACCCCAACTAGCCCGGACACCCACCGTCTCGTCTCTCATATCAGCTATATTATGCCCCGCATGTTGTTCGTGTGACGCTGGCTGACCTTTTGTCCCTCAGTTCAACTTGACGATTACTACTGAATAATATCTTCAACTACAATAACGACAACCCCAGTTCCACATATCACTCACACATATAACCCTTACCACATCAACTTCGACTACACTTTTCAAGAGTAAGTAGAAGCGACTACTTCCTCTTTGTTATGACATCATTTGGACATTGCCTTACACATGTCTTAGTGACCCGCTCCCACAAGTTCAACGACAAGGCCCATGTTGCAGCTGCCCAGGCTGAAGATGGCTCACTCGTCCCCGTCGAGCACGTTCCCAAGTTCTTTGGCAAGAACGGTTTCGCCGATGCCGATCCCAAAAAGGTTAAGAAGAACGGCGGTGGCAAGAGCAACTGGTGTGTGGCCCTTCTCATGTACCCCGATGCCTCTCACCATGTACTAACATCGCTTCCAACAGGGGCAACGCTGGTATCGAAGTTCTCGACGACCCTGAGTTCAATTTCGTTGCTCGCCGTCACTCCAATGTCAGCAACCCTAGCGTCCCCCATTACTTGGAGCAGTTTAAGACCAAGTTTGAGGTCAACGAGCCCGAGCCAGTCTTCGAAGAGGGTGTTCATAACGCTCCCGAGGAAGAGGAGGTGACCCTCGAGAAGACGGAGACTTCTTCTAGCGGCGGAAGTGTCGATGACGAGCACAAGACCCACAGTGACTAAACTCAGTCCGCCATGACCGTCACACCGTTACTATGATGATGATAATTAGGGACGATATCCTTATACTGATGACGACGACGAAGCGATACGAAACGTAAGGGCAGTCACCTGCAGAAACTGCGGGATTCCAAACAACTTTGGCGGAGGGTTTCCGTAACGCGAGGGGTGAAAGAACCCTGACTGGACCGGATCTCTCTATTTGACTAGCAGTCATTCCTTGAAACATTAAAAACTTTGGAGGAAGAAACTTCGGATGCTGGAACGATGTGACGCTTGATGCTTGAGATAGCAGATGGGGTTGCTCTAGTTAGTGGGCGGTTGAGATATACCGCGCTGTATATTATTGAAATTCAACCACGGCAACTTTGACCACTCTAGATCTGCTCCTCCGACTTGCCATTGTGATTTGAATGTTTTGTGATTTGTGCTCCTGGCCAACCTATCTTGATTCTACATTTTAAGCCACCATGTCTCAAACTTCTTAACCCGCCTTAACAGCCAGCTCCTTCATCACCTGTCTAGCCGGCTTTGCCCCCTTTCCCTCCACCTTGATTTTCCCTACCCTCAACAAACCAAACCTGCCTCCATCTTCTGGGATCACAAACGTCACAGCCCCCTTAACTTTTTCGTTCACACCATCCAGTCCCAACCTGGTACACAAGGCCCAACTCACTCTCGGCTTTCTCTCCGTCACCTTGTCACCGTTGGCAGTGGTCGTCTCGACATGGACGTACTCGTCCTCGCCCAGCCTCAGGAGCCAGAAGAGCGGGTCTGGAGGGGATTCAGTGTGAGACTGAGGTAGGAAAACAGGGTCAAGTTCCTGCTGCTCGATGGAGCTGGACTTGCCGCTGTTCATACTTTCAACAATCCGTCGGTAGGCTTCATACTTTTGCTCGAGCCCAGCATCGTCAGAAGAGGAGGGGATAAGAAGCTCGGATACGTCCTCGAGAATGATGCGCTTTGGAGATCCCTTTGCTGATTCCTCGAGGGGGTGGGGGTAGTAGAGCGGAAGTTCAAGCTCCTCTTCCTTCTGGTCTTCTTTTTTGGAGATTTTCTTCTCGGAGGATTCTTTAGCAGCAACAGGAACTGGAAGTGGGAGATAAACACTAGTCCACAAGGACCCGGCACCGCAAACTCGAGCTGTCAGCGCGGCGTCCGCGGCTGAGTGTTTTAAGATGGACCAACGCTGGTCGGCTTTGGTTATCTTGGGGGCGTGCGTATATCTCTTGTTCTCGACAGGAGAGGGGATAAGAGGGGGGATGGTATTGTCGATTACGGGCGTCAAAGGGGGGACGTGCAGACCCTTTTGCAGAGAAGAAACGAGCATCTCGGCTCCTAGGGGAGCGAGCAGGTCGTGCAGTTGGGAAACCGTGCAGGCGTGCGGGATGGGAATGCCGGGCAGAGGGGTTTGGGCGACGACGGTGCCGGCGTCAAAGGTTTGGGGGGAGAGGGTTTGGAGTGAGACGCCTGTGTGGGAGAGGCGGTTGAGGAGGGCGTGGTGGAGGGGGGCTGGGCCGCGGAGGCTTTTTTTTTTTTAGATACCTTTGTTAGTGTTTGGAAGTAGTTGTGGGTTTGTTTGTTTGTTTGTTTACTTTACAGGGGAAAGGGGGAAAGGGAAAAATGGGGAAAGAAGAAAGGGGGAGGACGTACTCGGGTAGCAAAGAAGGGTGAACGTTCAACCCCCCATATTTAGCTTGGTTGAGAATGCGTGGAGGAACAAAGAGACCGAAGGAGACGGCCACGATGAGGTTGATGGGTTCTCCATCGGGACTCTGAGGCAGGGACCAACCAGTGAAGGTGTCGCGGATGTGGATGGGGAGGGAAAGTTCTTCGGCGAGGTTTTGAATGGGGACTGGAATAGAAGGACGGACTTTGTTAGTTTACTTACTGTGTATGGTATGGCACTTGAGAGGGGTTAGGGATAGATTATATTACCTTGACGGATCTCCTTGTATCCTCTACCGAAAGCCTTTCCTGGTCGAACCATGACATCAATAGACTTGATGAGTCTTGGGTTGACCTTGTGCTCAGCGTGAAGTGCTTTTAGCGAGTAGCAACTGAAGACATCTGAGCCGCAGAAGAGAATGCGTAATGGGTCTGAGACCTTGTTGTTGGGTTTGGTGCTGTAAGAGCATCGAGTGAATGCTGATGATGATGCTCTTTGAGAAAGAGAGGATAGGGAGGACCTCATGCCCGAGGGCATAGTGAGACGTTGGAGTAGCATTTTTGCTACTGATGGTTCTCGTAGGTAGACTTTTCAATAAGAGTAACTCTCATCACGGGCTCAGAATCAGTTGAGACACAAGAGACCAAAGAGTCACTTACACAACCTCGCTCACGGGGTTGAGAGATTGATTGGTTAACGGATACTATTCCAGGGCACCAAGGCATGGAATAGCCGGAAGAACAACACGCGAGAACAAAAAGTATAATCCTAGAAACTTGGACTGAGAAGTCTAGGGGTTCTTGACCCGAGATGATTTCTCAATGACTGTAATTGCTGAAGTGTCTTGTCCCTACCTATTGTCCCGTTGTTGTCGTCCTCGTCAGTTTGTTATCACCACCGCAAAGTTCCACTTGGCGCACGATAGCGGGTTGCCGCAGCAAATACCTCTACTGCAGTTGCAGCGCTTTAACCCTAATCCTAGGGGACCCCGGCAGGCACCGAGGATCACCAACAGGGGGTCGCGATACAGCCGTTAAAGGACCCCAGATCTCCCTCCCACTGCCGATAAGGGTGGGCGGGAAGGCTCAACGGGAGAGTATTGTACCCATGGCCGGACAGGTGTAGCGTCCGGATAGCGGGCCACCAGCGGACCAATTCCACTGCTTCTCTGTGCCAATCTGCTCCGCCATTCCACATCAAATCGTACCAGGCCACTTCACAAATGTGACGCCTCGACTCGGACGCGTGGCACATTGTGCCCATGCTCTAGACTACATGGAAATAAGCATACATAGCTAGTCTTGCTGCCGTCCGGCACTGGAACCTTCTTTCCAGGATGGCTCAAGCTTCAGTTCAGATTGGCACTCCGTTGTTGACCACCCGGCAGGCTGAGGAGCTGTAAGTTGTTTTTCTCCTAACGAACTGTCACGCGAGGAGCGCAATTGCTGATGATGGTTTTGGGAATAGGCACAAGTCGATCCTAGCGTACCTCTCCTCCAAGAACCTCGCAAGTACGGCGGCTACGTTGAGGGATGAACTCGACCTTGCCGAAGAGTCCTTTGACGCCGAAAAGGCAAAGAAATATGAAGGTCTCCTAGAGAAGAAGTGGACGAGTGTCGTCCGGTTGCAGAAGAAGGTCCGCTACTTATCTGTCCATTCAACCTCTTAACATCTCGCACCTACCTTGGAGGTATGTAGCCAGCTAACGTATTCCAACAAAAACAGATCCTCGACCTCGAATCCCGCAACCACCTCCTCCAATCCGAAATCGACAACGCCACGCCTTCCTCCCTCTCGCGCCGCACCCAAGACCCAACCAACTGGCTCCCCAAAGCCCCCCCGCGCTACGTCCTCGAATCTCACCGCCTCCCCGTGACCTGCGTTGCCTTCCACCCAGTCTTCACCTCTCTGGCCTCGGGATCCGAAGACTACACCATCAAGATCTGGGACTGGGAGCTCGGCGAGCTGGAGCGGACCATCAAGGGGCACACCAAAGCCGTGCTGGACGTCGACTTTGGCGGGCCCCGCGGCGGGACCCTCTTGGCCTCTTGCAGCTCCGACCTGACCATCAAGCTGTGGGACCCGAGCGACGAGTACAAGAACATTCGCACTTTGCCGGGGCACGATCACATTGTCAGTTCCGTCCGGTTCATCCCCAGCGGAGCGGCCGGTGCGCCGGCCAGTGGCAACCTGCTGGTCAGTGCGAGCAAGGATAACAGTCTGAAAATATGGGATGTCACGACGGGGTACTGCGTCAAGACCATCCTGGGCCATGTGGACTGGCCGAGGGCGGTTTGTCCGAGCCATGATGGACGGTATTTGCTGTCGACGGGGAGCGACAAGTCGGTCCGCTTGTGGGACCTGGCGGGTGGGAGGGATGCGGAGTGCAGGCTGGTGATGTTTGGGCACGAGAACTATAATCTCTGTTGCGCGTTTGCGCCGCCGACGGCGTACCCCTACTTGGCCAAGCTGGCGGGCTTGGACAGGCCGCCGCCGCCGAGCTCGAGCGCGGAGTTTATGGCTACGGGGTCGAGGGATAAGCAGATACGGTTGTGGGATGGGAGGGGAAATTGTGTCAAGGTGTTGGTGGGACATGATAACTGGGTGAGAGGACTGGTGTTCCACCCGGGCGGAAAGTATCTGCTCTCGGTAGCGGATGATAGGACGATGAGGTGCTGGGACTTGAGCCAGGAGGGTAGGTGCGTGCAGACGCTGACGGGGGTGTATGAAGGGTTTGTGAGCTGTATCAGATGGGCGCCGCCAGTGGTGAAGGATGCGGATGCTACGGCGGGGAATGGCAGGTCGGAGGGCAGTTCGCTGGCGGATCCGGTGGTGGCGGCGAGAAGGAGAGCGGCCACGGTGGGAAGTGTGAGTGCGAGTGTGCAGATTAGGTGTGTGGTTGCTACGGGAAGCGTGGATGGGGCGGAGGGTAAGGTTAGGATCTTTGCTAACTAGGGGGTGATGTTGGTTTTTGAATATAATATATACATGTATTTCTGGGATTACATCAGTCGACGGATTCATCATGATGAACTGACATAACATTCATGGGTTCACGATCAGAGTTGCTCGTTTCGTATAAATCAAGTCAATCTACGTTGTAGGTGGAGTGTTTCTTCAACAAAAGCATACGGAGCCGAATGTTGGTGTTAATGAGACCCCGTCCCGGCCCCACCACCCCGGTATTGTATGTGTTGAATCGGCGTGGATATCGGGCCGGTGTCCGTTGGTCAGATGTAGTTCGCGCGGATGCCCACCGCCGGAGGTGTCCGATGGATGGATGGATGGATGACATCCCATTATGTTATGCGCTGCCTCATCCAGCCACCCAACGTCGGCACAGCAAAGCAGCTTGCTCAAATGCAATGTTTCGGCATCAGACTTTACCCAGGCCGTGATCCCCTTGGCGATGAAAATAGATACGTTATCGATCCCGGTCCGGACTCAATATGCTCGGAGTCGGTGTGCGTATTTATTTGCGTTCCTGTTGAATCGTTTCCATCGGGGCGGGGGGGCGCCGGGGCGGTTATATGTATGTAGGTGTCAGTTTATAGCTAGCGGGACTTATGTTGCGTGCGGACGGGACCGAAACCCGAGACCACCAATAACACTGCAAAGGCAGGGTGCAGGTATGTAACTGTAGGCAACTTTTTTTGGTGGCAGAAGTGGGTTTCTTTTCTTCATGCAATTCATGCAATTGTCTCGACGTCTGCACCGCCTGCTGCAGCTAAAAACAGCCGAGTGAAACACTATCACCACTGACTGGTGTTTATACGATTTTTTTTTATGGTGGTGGTTATTTCTAGAAGTGACGGGAGTGCTGTTTGGGCCTGTTGCCGCCGCTGGCGCCGACGCTCCTCAGTACATAGGGTACGTAGTGGTAAGTGGGGATATCACCAAGAGTCGTCAATTCGTCGTCACAGGATCGTTAAAGTCTTTCCTTTCGTCAAGTGTTCTTTGCCAAGAAAATATGAAACGAATTTCACAATGTGTGATATGCCGGAATAAAAACTAACCATGATGCTGCGGCGGGTAAATAAGTGAGACCCCAGGCGGGAGGGAATCAACGACTCGCTATTTTTCAATATCGTTATTTAATTTCTTTTTAACCGTGTTACATAGCCATGTGGCCATGCCGTGGGAACAAAAAGAAGGGCAGATTGTTTGTACACTACGTACAGTACAACGTAGGTGGCTGAAAGGCATGTTTTGCATATCACAAACCCACTCTCGTTTCGAATCTTCGATTTGTGTTCAGCGTTACGGAGGTTGATGCAATTCCCGGGCCGTCCCCAACCCGCACCCAGCATCCATCTTCCAGCGGCCTGCTCGGAAACCAACATGATCGCAATCACCCACATCGAGATTCGGTCAGTCACCCCTTTTGCAGACCGGGCGGAGCTGTTCCGCACCATGTACCGCTTTCGAAGATGGCCAGGCGGGGGGACTGCTGGAGTGAAGTGAATGTGTAGTGTCGCATCCAGTTGGCTGGTCATTGCATCTTGTGAATGGAGTCAGATGCTTCTGTCTTTATTCACTTGAATAATTTGGACTCGTGATCTACACTTTTTCTTACTGGAGGCGGCTAAGAATGAGCAACGGGAAACAGTGACGGGCATGGTTGGGAAAGCACGACCGTTTATAATGGCTGAATTAGTGACGAGTGCTCCAATGCGGAGGGAGATTCGGGCTGTTCCATGCTCCCGGTCGTCTCCCCTCAAAAGCCAAGCACGATGGTCACTGGAAACCCCTCTTCGCCACCTCCATTTTTCTTCTTTCCTCCTTTGTCTCGCGAAGGAAAAAGGAAACCTCACCCGTCCACTGGCCCGCGGGAAGATCACTTGCCAAGCAAACAATGGTTCCCAAAAAGCTGGGGCCAGCGTGACATTGACTGCCTTGATTCGTCCACCAATGTCATCAGCCAAGTGGAAAAGAGGGTGGCATTGCAAGAAAGCACTCTGCAGAACCTCAACAACCCAAGAGGCACCTGGCACGCCATCTCTTGGACCGGCATGACCTCCGGTTCTCGCGACTCTTTACCGCCTTTATGTACTGTAGGTATGTATACCCCTCAGTCACCAAAAGCACAATTTGGTTTGAAAAAAAAAAAATTAAAAAAAAATTTCACACTACGCCTCCACTCTCTCGGGAGTTGCGATGCTACCTCGAAATGGAAAAAAAGTACGACATGACTTTTGATTGTGATATATCGTTCTGTCTCAGTCCTAGCGGCTCATCCCTACTGCTAGCAGTACACTAGTAGTGTAGTGCTAGTGGAAAACTGAACAGCTCCCTCAACTCAACTCGACTCAACTCAACAGCCTCCTCGTGCTGTGCTCCTCGGCCGGCCAAAGACGAACACAGCTGCAAGCAGGACACTAGTGTAAAAAAGGTGACCAGCATAAGGATCAGTCGCGCTGCTTTAACGGGCTCTCCACTGTCGATGTCGTCCGAGGCAGATCCCAACTCCACCAATCTCCGCCTCAGGGTTCCTGACCCTCCTGTTCAACTCACCTTCCTCTTCTTACACCGACATCTCATCCCATCCATCCCCAAAGAACAACAAGCAGCAATTGAAGTTCGAGACTCTGAACGCCTCACCACCGACGCTTCAAAACACAATTGTCTTGAGTCGTGACAGCTAAAGCTTTCTGGAACTCGGCAACAACCAGGAACCCCGATCTTCTTGACTCAGTTCCCCGTTTCAACCTCCGTCTACCTCGTTAGCCTCGATATTCGATATACGCCGCCTTCTTAGCATAACGCCAGCCAACACACGATTCTTTGTTTCAAAGTCACACTGGACTCGCCATATACTGTCAAGTCGAGCCTGGGCAAATGCGCTAGAAGGACCTTACCCCCCCGGTCATGACTTGGAAGGGTCCTTCAAATATTCCCGGCACCCGCATCCATCTTCTCCAAATCCTCCCCTATGTCGCGGCTTGAAGGATTATGGCGACGCTGTGGACGTGATCGAGCCAAAGACTTGATTCATTGCTGCCGGCCTCCTTGACTGGCATCGCCCTGCCAGGCGGCAACATCAACATGGAGGCTTATTCTCACAACCACTCACCAGACGTGCCCGACCGAGGGCCCGCCGTCTTCGTCGTCACCACGGTGACAATATGCTTGGCTACCCTCTTCGTCGTTGCTCGAATGGTGTCTCGTATCGGAATCGTACGCAGAGTCGGATGGGATGACTACATCATCATCCTTGCCTGGCTCATCTCCCTGGCCCTATCCATCACCATTGACATGGCCACGAGGCGTGGTCTAGGTCGTCATGACGTGGATATTCACCCTCAGCACCGGCCAGGTTTGAGGATGTGCGAATATGTCTTTTCCATCCTATACGTATGTGTTCTCCCATATCACTTGTGTTAATCCACCCACATCCACTTACATGGGTAACAGAATCCGGCCCTCATGGCTACCAAGACGTCCATCCTCGTCTTCTACCTTCGCCTGGCCAAGAACACGCAAAAGGTCCTTCGGATGGCCTCCTGGGCCGTCCTAGTGATTGTGAACGTTGCTGGAACCATCCTCACTTTCATGAACATCTTTCAGTGCAGCCCGCTGCGAGCTGCTTGGGACATTACGGTCGAGTCGGCCAAGTGTCTGCCCTTGTTGACCGAGTTTATATGCTCTGCCCCCGTGAACATCGTTACCGATCTAGCTATCTTGGCTCTCCCTATTCCCGTGCTCACCGGCATGCGTCTCCCCCCGAGACAAAAGACGATTCTGATCCTTACCTTTACTCTTGGTATCTTTGTGTCGATCGTCGACGTCGTCAGGATTTACTACCTCCAGCAAGCCGTGGGTATAGTATCCATGAACTTTTCCGACGACCCCAGCGCAATTTACGGCCAGAGTGTGAATTTCCCCTGGAACGCATCATTCTCCTTGATGTGGTCGGCTGTCGAGGTCAACGTCGGCATCATCTGCGCCTGCATCCCGACCCTGAAACCCTTGATTATCCGAATCCTTCCTGCCATGATCATCGACCCCGACGGAACTCGCAGTAGCACCCGGGATAGGGACGCCGCCTTCAAGCGGGACAACTCGGACAGCAGCCAACCGGTTACCTCGTCGACGCTGAGCGACTCCCACGCAAGCGCCCCACAAGCCCCAGAGCAGGTCCGTCTACAAAATGACCGACTGTCCGACGAGATCTCCATCAGAGACTTTTTGGCAGCATCAGCCACCAAAGAAATCCCTGCATTCGAAGGCAGGACGCCTACCTTCCCGGATCGACGAAGGTTTTCTTCAGCCCAAGAGAACTCCATCTACTTTGGATTCGTGGAAATGAAGAAGCCAAAGAGCATGGTCAAATCTTCGGTATCGGAATCACTCAAATACTGCACCATCGTCAGCATCCTTTTCTTCCTCTGGGGCTTCTCCTATGGCCTTCTTAACACTCTCAACAACGTCGTGGCAAACGTGGCTCACATGAGCACGGCACAAGCTTTGGGCTTGACAAGCGTCTACTTTGGTGGTGGGTACCTCCTTGGACCTCTTCTCGTCGGAGGCTGGCTGCTCTGCCACGACGAACACCGTCGGTTCAGAAGGAGAAGGCGTGGCGATATCGAACCCATTGGTGGCTTCAAGGCCACCTTCATTGTGGGCATGCTCATCTACGGCGTCGGAACTATCATGTTTTGGCCGTGTGCCGTCCTCTCGGCCTATGGCGGGTTCATGGCCAGCAGCTTTGTTGTTGGGTTCGGACTGGCCGTCTTGGAAACCGCCGCCAACCCCTTTCTTGTGCTCTGCGGACCACCCGAATATGCCGATATGCGACTGCTCCTAGCTCAGGGCGTACAAGCCGTCGGAGCCGTCCTGAGTGGTGTGCTCGCTAATAATGTCTTCTTCCACAAAATCGAAGAACGAAAACACAGCCCCACGACTTTGCTCGACGTCCAATGGACCTACCTCACCATCACCCTCCTCTGCGTACTACTCGCACTCTTCTTTTACTATTCCCCCTTACCCGAAGTAACCGACCGCGAACTCGGCCGGCTCTCCGAACGCCTCCCCGTCGAACCCAAGAAACGCTCCATTGGCGGTGTGTCGCTACGAACGTGGTGCATCCTCCTCGCCGTCTTCTCCCAGTGGTTCTACGTCGCCGCGCAAGAAAACATGTCCGTCTTCTTCACTCGCCTCATGACCACCTTCTCCCCAACGCACGAGCCCTACCCAAACTCGCGGCCCGAAGGATTCGAAATAAGGACGCTCAACTACCTCGTCGTGTCACATACCGCCTTTGCCATCTCCCGCTTCATCGCCGCCTACCTTTGCTATTTACATGTGAAGCGCGGGCCCACAAGCCGCTTCATCCCAACCCCGCGCACGATCCTCAGCATCTGCGCCGCCCTAGCAACAGTCTTCATCTTAGTGACTGTCGTCTACAAACCCGCCTCCAACCCCAATCTCATGGCCATCCCCATCATCCTCTTCTTCTTTTTTGAAGGACCCATCTGGCCTCTGATTTTCTCCCTCGGCATGCGCGGCCAAGGAAAGAGAACAAAGCAAACAGCCGCTTGGCTAACGATGGGCGGCTCCGGTCCGGCTTTTTGGCCTTTTGTCTCGTACGCTATCTTGCAAAGAGGCGCACGCATCCAGACTTCTTTCATCGTCGTTGTCATTCTCATGGCCATGACCATGGTCTACCCCCTTTTCCTCACCTTTGTTCGAGACGCGAGAGAAATGTCTGATCACGTCATGGACACCGCTTCGCAAAAAAGACGGCGAAGCGGGGACGTTGAAGACGGTGGTGGTGGTCTGGGCGGATTAGGAGGAAGGGGAGTCTTCCTTTCCGAGCGCAGAGGCAGCGAAAACCCAATGACGCTTGATCAAATCATTGCCCAACGCCAAAGAGAAAGAGCCAAAGCTGCACAGAAAGCGGCGAGAGCGGAGAATGGAGGAATGCTCAAGAGGTTATCGCGAAGTATGGGGATTGGCGCTGAGGAGACCCCTGATGAGAATATTAAGGATGAGAAGAGGAGGTCTCAGCAGCAGCAGGGACAAGGACAGGGACAGATGCAACAACATTTGCAGCCGGAGATGCAGTATGAGAAACAGTTGGGCAAGAAGACTAGTGGTGAAGATGAACCTTCTCGGAAGGATGGAGAAAGTGAAGAGGATCCTATGAGCGGAGCGGACGAGGCGAGGCACCCGAATCCACCGGCTCCAGAGACTCCGGAATGGGAAAGGCAGACAGCACCTTGGGACCTTCCGCAGTTACAGCTGGATACGCGAATTTTGGAGGATTGAAGAGAGATACCTGATACCCTTATGATTGATGAATTTATGCGGAAATGAAAAAGGGAATATATATATATATACCAGGGCGTTGTTATTGGATGGATCGACGCAAAAGGCAAACACCAAATACATACGTTTTGCGCCACGGGTGGTCGGCCGAATATCAGGCAGGATAGGCGTCGGTCAGAGCGATCATAAGAGTACATACATACTTCAACGCACTGCACATACATACCATACCATACCAATACTTGCTTGGCACGCTTAAGATACCCCTTATATATAATACAATGCTGCTTTGTTTGTTTGTCCGTTACTTTGGGAACTTCCATCATGTGTATTGAGTTGTCCGAGTGAAGCGACATGGTATAATGGCAAGGGTATGTGATGTTATATAAAGAAGAAAACCTCTGATGGGTATTTCATCTTCTTATGCTTCTCTCTCCCTTTTCTCTTAGGCCTTTAAAGAATATTGTATGTCTTACGGCCGCTCGTCCACGACAAAATTGATGAGAATCTTCTTTGGCTGTAGCTTTGATTCTATGGTAGGTAGTGGGCGATCAACCAACTGGGCAAGTAAGTGAACCAGTCCAACCATGCCAACTCGTTGTGGTTAGGAAAGGTTGTTACAAAACGGTGATAGGGATTACGATTGTTCGAAAACAAATTGACTAGAACCCCTCTGGGGTACGATTATCCGGGGATTGCAAAGAAGTTTGAGTCCAAAGGTTGTGATACAAACGATCAGATGCGCTGTGAGAGGATTTTTCAAAGCGCCAAAGTATGATGCACTGACCATAACGTGTTCGGTTTATTCTCTTATGACCATTCGGCAAAGGTCACAAATCTTGTCAGGGACGAGCCGCGTTACCTGATAGCAAGTGAACGCTTTCCTATATTTAGTAAACGTCGGCTTTTTTGTTCCAAGGTAATACACGAACCGGGACTGGATTATAGTTCTAGACTATAGACAGTCGAAGAAATCAATCCCAGAGATAATGCTCGCTTTAATGATACGCTTTATGTGATGTCTTCAACGCTGCCTCGAACTCATGAACCTCAACCGATCATACACAGTAAACATGATCCGGACACAGCTCGCCACAAGCCCGCAAACTTGCCTCCCTACCTTGGTACAGCTTCCTCCATCAACTTAATCTCTCTGTCTCCGTCTCCCTCTCCATTTCGTCTTTGTCCGCCACTCACTCTCACTCCCCGCCTCATACCCACTATCACTGTTACTCTCATACCAATAACTCTCACTCTCACTTTCGTCACTCTCGTCACTCTCGTCACTCTCACTCTCGTCACTCACTGCCTAAGTGTGCACCCACTTCCCATCCTCCAAGCTCTCCACAACCTCATCCAGCTCATCCTCCCTCAACAACTCCTCAATCAGAGCCCCATTGACCAAATCATTCTCCACCGCCCTCTTATCCGCCTCCTCCTCTGTGGCCGCAATCCCAGCAGCCAAATGCCTCTTCACCAGCCTTTTCCTGGCAACAGGGAACGCCACTCTGACAAAGAACTTGAGGTCCATCAGTTTAGCAGCATCAGACCAGGGTTTTTGATCTAGTAGGAGGTCTGTTTTTATCTCCGTTAGCTTCTTACCCCCTCACAATCAATCCCCAAACACAATAGGAAATCTGAAGAAAGAAGAGAGAGAGAGAAAAAAAAAAAAAAAAAAGGGAAGGCAAGAGAAAAAACTTACAATTCCCCTCAAAAACCACCACCCTCACCTCCGGTCTGACTTCGATCCCTTTCTCCACCGGATCCTTCAACGCATGATCGAAACTAGGCGCCCACACCGTTGTTGTTGTTGTTGTTGTTGTTGTTGTTGTTGTATTTCCTACAGTCACCGGCTTTCGTAGTTCCTTCACCAACTCATAGAACCCCTGTCCATCAAAAGTAAATTCCGCGCCGCGTCGGGCGTGTGCGAGGTCCGGGTCGGGCATGGCGGACAGTTGGGCGCGCGTGAGGTGGAAGCCGTCCATGGGGAGGGCGGTGGCGAAGTCTGGGGACATGGAAGCAAGGGGGGAAGTGGTGTAGTGCAGGTGATTAAGGCGGCGAGCGAGGATTTGGGAGAGGGTTGTTTTTCCTGGTTTTTGTGGGATAGGGTCAGTTAGGTTGGTGAGAGGGTTGGTAGGAGGGGGAGGGGGAGGAGCAAGAAGAAAAGGAGGAGGAGAAGGCTTACCGGAGCCGGGGATACCTGCTATGGCGATCACTGTTTAAGGAAGACGGTTAGTATGTTTGGTGTTGTTGTTACTTAAAAAGATGAGGAGTGACGAAGCAAAGGGGATTCAGCGAGGTGAGTTGGTAAGCGTAAGACCCGAAGTGTCCACAGTCACCTGGTGCAGAGAAGGTCGAGATGTACGAGTCACTGAACGAATATAACAGGCATGCTGGAGGCGACGAGTAGTGATGATGGCTGTTTGATGACGGGGGAGATTATGGAAGAAGAACCGGTGAGCACATACAGAGTCTTTGATCCTTGGGTGTGTCGAGAAACTTGTCCCATGCCCTCTCGACCAAGCGATCCATTTGTTCCTCCATACTTGGTGATCTATTATTGACTGCGGATGCTGATAGTTGCCAGATGGTTGGTATGAGATGAGGTCACTTGTAAGCCGGCGATGATGGGTGGGAGAAGATTAAGATATTGTTTACAGATGGACACGTTAAACAACGAGAAAGAGGAGAAAAGTAACAGGGCTTTGTTGGTTGCCAATAGTTGTTGTTGTTTCGTTATCCAAAGCTGGAAGTTGCTATCGTGAAGAAGTCGGTCGGGGAAGGAAAGACCCCCCAAACCCAACGCCGGCCGGGCCATAACATGGAAGTTCGAAGATGTGGGGCCGCCCTACGGAGCTCCACGGGGCCACTGCGGGGCTCGTGGAGAAGATTGCCGCTCCGTTACTTCGGGCTTTTAGGGCTCCGCAATTGCTGTCTTCACTTCCTTGTCCGGAGAGCTTCCAACCCCGGGGAAAGACTTTCACTCACTTACACATTCATTCTCCCCTCGACTTCCACCTTTTCAAACTGCATACAACTCGAGAAGATTTCTACGATCCATACTTCCCAAACCTATCACGAGAATCTTGAAAGTTTTTATTTCAGAAATTTACATCTAAACATCACAACCAAAACCATGTCCCTCGAAGCCGAAGAAACCCTTGAATCTGGCCTTCTAGGCATCGGTCTAGGTTCCGACTCCGAAGACGAGTCAACCACCAACACCAACTCTAATACCAAAACCGAAGTCGTACCCGAATGCGCAGCACCAGCCACAAAAGCAGACAGGACAGCCCTTTCGGAGGAAGCCTTCCAAGAGCTCAAAAAGACTTATCGCGTCAAGGTTGAGAACGGCGAGGTACGTATGAAATTCCTCCTCTCCCTTTGTTTCTCTCCACTTTCTATATTATATTATATTCCGCCTCGTTCTAAGCCGCCATGTCCGCTCCTGCTCTTGTGACCTTTTTCACACCTCAAACCTCGAAACCTCCAACCCTTTCAAACTATCAAGTTTTCCAACTTGCCTCCCCTTCTTCCCCCTCGTCCCTACACTATGCTCCCCCCTGCCGCCCCCGTGCATCAAGTCCAACCAAGCCTCACATACACTACATTCACACATCTAACACGCACAAAGTTCCACCGTCATCTCCGATTCCCCCTCGGCTCCCCCGCCGCAGACGGAAGCAGAACCATCAACAAGCCCGAAGCGCAAGAGATTCTACACGCAGTGGAGGAGCTCTACTTCTTTCGGAGGTACGAGGAGGCAGTGGCGCTACTGAGAAAGGTATGGGAGGATGCGGGGGACAGTCTCTTTGATCGGGATACGACGGGGTTATTGAGGCTGTATGAGACGAGGTGTGGGGAGAGGTTGAGGGGGGTTAATGTGGATGGGCAGTGAGTTGTAGGGGAGAGATAGGTTTGTGGAATTATTGATACCCTTTTTATGTGCGTTTGTGATTACTTTGATTGATATAATGCAGTGCAGTGCAACGTTGGTAGGTTGGGTTGGTTTGGTTAGAGGTTCAGATGAGATGGCTGTTCGTTCAGTTTGGTGTGAGGACGTTGGATGTCAAGCAAATATTTTCAGCATGAGTTCATCGCGATGAGTTTTCAAAATACGAACGGTAGTCAGGAACAGCGCCGAAATGAAGCACAGTGTTTGAACGAGGGAAATTGTAAGATGTCTCTTATCTATACCTCAAAATGTAAATGACAAAAATCTAGCAAATGGTGTGAATGCTCTAACTTCCTTCTTCCATCTCTCCATCCTATCCATCATCTCCTTTTCAGATTCCATCTTAGCCGTCGCCGCAACCCGATTTATCTGAACCGTCTAGGGTATGTGCAAGGAGTTTCGTACCCCGCGCATGTCATCGGGCCGTCGCATCGAAGGCCATCAGCACCCCTCGCTTCCTTCAAACCGCTTCGGAAGACCGGAAGCAAGGAATGACAAATGATGATTTTCAGTTTCCTTTAACCTCCATGTTCAGTACCAAGAGAAATCCCAGAAATGAATCGGGGATAGGGGGGTAACTCCGAGAACTCCGTGTCAACACTGCTCGACAAGATGGGCATGATGACGCAGGAATAAAGACACAACAGATGAGGAAAGGAAAACGCAAATCTACAATAACACATTTGAATTTGGGATATCGAAATGAATAAAAGCAAGATAAAATGAAGATGCATCGCTTCTTCCCCCCCTTGAGTGAATAATGAACACCGAACAACGCCGTCTAATGAAGTTGACTCCCAAGTCTATGCTTTTTGGCTAAACCCCCGGACTCCGTACGACATCGCTTTTGTTTGTATGTAAACCCATCAATCGCAAAGAAAGAGAAAGAGAAGTGTGTGTGTGAGTGAATGCATCATTGATGCCGCGCCAAGCCAGGAGACAGACAATGCCTGCTGCACGGAACTGCCCGGAAAGTCTTTTTCAGCTCAATCGCTTGTTTGCTTGCCGCTGGTGCGCGACACGTGTGTGTGTCGGCGAATGTCGTGATTTGGCGTCACGATCGAGGCAAGCGATTTGATGATGCGCTGCCGGCATTGCTGCTGCTGCTATATGTGATGATGGTGCCGTCGCTCAATCGCCCCGACGATGCAGAAATAAATCGAGCATGTCAGAGCGACCTCGGATCGTAAAGAGAGACTTAGGCAGCCATGCGGATGTTCCCCGCTTGCTCCCTGATGAGGCCCATCTTCTCCCTTTCCCTTTCCTCGGCAAAGACGCGCCTGCTCATGGCCAGCACGGACTCGAATCCTTCCTTGCCCTTAGCCGCGTTCTCCCGGAACCTCTTGACAAGGGTGTCCTCGATGCTGTTCTTGATGCGCTGCCAGCCACCAGCCAGAGCGGTGATCTGGGCCTCCTGGTGAAACTTGGTCTGGTGGTCGGAGAGGGGCGAGTAGACGACGGTCTCCTGGACGTTGAGCAAGTTGCTCCAGGTGATATTTGTGGAGACCATGGTAACGGTCTTGGTCTTGGGGTCGACGTATGAAGTCTCAAACACCTGCGACTCGTCCATGCCGCCGCCCATCATGCTCTTGAGCCATTCCGGAGCAGCCTGACGGCAGGTGATGAGGCGCTCGGTGCGCAGGATGCCGGTGGCAGGGTCAACGCTGCGGCTGATGGTATCGACGGCGACAACGTGCGTTGACTTCTCGTTCCATGGGCAGTACTTCCGCCAGTTGGCAGTCGATACCTCTTCCCATGAGTAATTGAAGGTTTCTGTGTTGGAAAAGACCTTCATTTTGATAGCTTTGCGAAGTGTTTTATTGAGTTTGTTGGTGATGGATTCGTGAGGTGGTGTCAAGATGGAATCCTCTTATAAGTGATAAAAAATCGACTCGGAAGCGCCGCGCTGACAAAAAGCAGACCGCAAGAAGGGGAGAGACGATCCTTATGTCGACAATTGCGGTGACTCAAGCGAGCGGTCAGCTAGAAATAGGGCGTGGTGATGGTGGTGGTGGTGGCTGTAAGAAATCGTCTGGACCAACGACAAGAATAGGACTTTTTGGTGGTCAAGGATTGGCTTGTGATAACGCAGAGAGCGGAGGAGCGCAGCAGAAAGTTCTTTCGCAGGGGCTAGACTAGTGACTAGCTGACTGGGACCCTGGGTAAACAAAACCGGTTGATCCGAACAACGGCCTGGAACCTTGGGTTGATCGACGATAACGGAGCGCGTGCCTGGTTTGCTTGTGACACTACCGCGTGTACGTCCCGTCCTAAAGGGGAAAATAATAGCTTGGTTGTGATTGTTTGTAGTATGTGGTCGCGTGAAGGTACCTAGGTAGACAAGGGGGAGTGGAATGCAGAACAAGTGCAGTACTATAAAGTGAGAGACACTTGAAAACAGAGTTGAACAAACTTTGTGAAGCCTCAAAAACAGCGAGACCGGAACGGAGCAGAGGAAGAGCGGTTGCGGCCTTTATGACTTGCCGCTTGTCATCGCGATATTCCTCGGCTTTTACCAATTGGAACCGAAATGTGACGCCTTTCTTTTTTTTTTTTTCCTCCTTCCAGCGTTGTACGCCCCCGCGCGGCCCAGTTAGTGGCTCACTGAGCCCGTTGGTCCGTTCACACCCGCGTCTCACGAATTCTTATCGGGTCCGTGATAAACCCAGAAAAAAAAGTGGCAACGCAGCTGCGCAGTCAGCCAATGGGATGAACCACATTTTCCACACTCAATCTCCACCAACCTCAGTTTGGCGAGGTGTGGAAAAAATAGTCCGAACACACTTACACCAGAAATACACGGGAATGTGTTCGGTCTTTTGTTCACACACCTCGGTTAGACAGGTCGGACACGGCGAATCTGACAAAGCCGCAGACGTCACAGCCGGTCTACCTCCGTCATCCCCAGATGTCGATCACTCCGCCTCCGTGATCGCTTCCGTCACTCTTCGCCGCTGATTGACAATTCGGAAAGCCGTGGAATTTTTGAGCCTCTGTATCGGTACGGTACGGTTGTGGATCGCTGGGTCCGATTTGTTCGGCCCGCACGGAGTACGAGTGGATCTCTTGGGACCGGCTTGGCTCTCGAAGCTCCGCACATACTCCGGTTGTCCTCTCTGGTCGACGGCCAGCTATATTGAAACATGACACGCTAGTTTTCATGTGCTGACCGAGTTTAAACTTCCAGCGTCAAATCCCTGCCATTAGCTAAAACAACCGTTACAGATTGATGAACCAAGTGTCAAAACGTCCTAGCACTCGGTAGATTGATGACTGCGCGCTGCTGGGTTTCTGGCTGGCTCGAGCTTTCTTTCACCCCTCCCTATCAAAGCGCACTCATCGCCATGAACTCGTGGTGCTACAATCTTTTACAAACAACATTACAGGAAGAAAACGCGAACCAAACAAATCCCGGACTTTTTTTGTCGTACCCTATCCTATGCTATGCTACCCCATTAATCCCTTAGAAATCATCACCACGGCTGATAACCTCCTTCACGGTAGGTCTGAGCAGAATGGTGTGCTCATACTGGGCAGTGTAAGAGCCCTTCTTATCAACCAATGGGGGATAAGCCTCGACAATACCCTGTGACACAAGGTTGTTCAACTGTAACACGCATCGATTAGCAACAGAATGATTCGGGCTAATAGACAGCGAACATCAAAAACTTACCCCGAGAAGATACTTGTCCTGACCCAAACGATCAATGTAACGCCTGCAGAAAGGAAGAGTACCAAAGTTCTTGGTGATCACGTTCAACAAGGACTTGGCAGAGGACAGACGGAGATCGACCTTGGCCGCATCACCACGCTTGGCGTAGTGCGAAACCTCACCCTCCTCATGCACGTAGCCGTTGCCCGTGCTACCGAAAGTCTCAATGGCAAAGACATCGCCTTCCTCCATCTTGGTCTGGTCGTTGCTCTTGACAATCGGCACGCTCTTGGTGCCGTGGATGCTGTAGTGGTTGATGGTGTGGCCGTTCAAGTTGCGGATGGACTTGACGGGAAGCATCTGACCGTTGATCTCAACCTCGTAGCTCTCCATGACCTCCTGAATGGCGGCACCAATGTCGCCCACACGCACGTCGATACCGGCCTCCTTGATACCGGCGTTGGTGGCGGCCTTGACGGCCTCGAGAAGGGGGTCATAGCGGGGGTTGAAGGCGACAGTGAAGGCGCTGTCGACGATGCGGCCGTTGACGTGCACACCGAAATCCACCTTCATGACGTCGTCCTCCTGCAGAACCATCTTGTTGCCAGCGTTGGGGGTGTAGTGCGCCGCGCAGTGGTTGATGGAGAGACCAGTAGGGAAACCCATACCGGCGATGAGAGCGTCGCCCTCCTCGAGACCGCTGTGGCCGGTCAAGGCACGCACACTATCCTCAATGTTCTCGGCGATCTCGGTCAGGGTCTGGCCGGGCTTGATGCTCTTTTGCGCCCACTGGCGAACCTGTCTGTGCACCTCGGCGGCGTGGCGGTAATCAGTCAAGAACTCCTGGTTGAGATTGTCGAGATGGCGCTTCTCCTCGTTGGTCACCCGGTTCAGGTTATCGTTGACGTATTCGACCTCCTCGCCCTTGGGGTACTGCTTGTTGGGGAAGAGCTGCGAGACGAGGACACGGGGAGGCTCGCTTTGACTGGTCGGGGCCTTCTTCTTCTTCTTGGGCTTTCTCTTCTTCTTCTTCTTGGCGGCACCGGCGGCAGGGGCGGCAGCGCCCTCCTCGGCTTCCTCGTCACCGGACTCGGCATCGCTGTCGTTGCCGTTGGCCGCCGCGGGAGCGGGCTTGGTCTCGACTATTTTTCGGATACAGCAAGTCAGTGGTGACCTTTACGGTTGCGCCGTGATGCAGGGTGTCGGGAGGATGTTGAAGTCCATACCGCTGAGCTTGCTAAGCTCTTCTGCTGGGGCTGCTTGAGCTGCCATCTTGTCTGTTTGATGTCTCCTGACCAGAAAGATGTCAAGAGGAACAGACAAAGTGTTTGTTGTTGAAGAAGAAGAAGGAAAGCTGACATTCTTCAACCAAACAAAAGTTCAATCCCCACCATCCAAAGCTCCCAACGTATCGCTTATCGCCCCATTGGATGGTCAGAAAATTGACGGCTGACCACTTACAGCGCTCCGTGCAGGGGCTACAGGGCGCGACGTTCACAAACGCGGGGTTGCAGTGGAACGCCCCAAAGCGCCCTTGAATTGACATGTTCGACGCTGCATGAGCTGACCCGACCCAGCTTGCCCTTGCCGCGTTATCCGGATATTGCAGGCTTGTCCCAATTGAAGGGGATGCATCTCACGGGGCGGGCGGTGAGGTGGCCAGAGCTTCGAGGACATTGTGCCTCGATTATGTCACTGCGTCACCGGCGGCAGGGATCCTGTCGTTATCGTATCAGGCTTGAAGCTAAAGGAAACCAAACCTACCGTCAACAAGGAACGTCGATTGCGCCTGGGTGTTTCTTCATTTGAGAGGACATGAAGGATCATCTATGAGCCCAGCGAGAACGGGATGAGGAATGCCAGTTCACTACAGCTCTTTCGGTGCGGCCTTGCGCCCTCTTGGTCGCCAATGCCGTCGTGATCTCCCCCATCTTTCCACTCCTCCACCCTCGATTATCACCACTGCGAGAGTTAACGTCGCGAACAAAGTCTCCCGCAACTTTTCCATTTCGCGTACTCTACAAACCGGCCGTCAAGAGCCTGAACACCACAACAATCACTATGAAACGTTAAACGTTCATTTCGACGCCACTCAGGCGGAAATCAAAAAGTGGCTATGCCTTTTCTTGAGCTTCCTATCGCAAAACTCCACCACACTTTTCTTATCACTTACACCAACTCGCGGTCCACATCTTTCACTACCTATATCCCATCACCTCATGTCTCTACACTTTCACCCTTTGCTGCGCCAACAGTCCATCTCTCCATATACCCTGCCTAGGTATCATCCCTCCTAAGAAAGAACACTGTAAACTAACGGCAACAACAGATCCTTCTACCACCTCTCCAAAACCCACCACCCCGACCACAACCCTTCAGACCCGCACGCCTCCCACCGCTTCATGCGCATCTCCGAAGCCTACTCCACCCTTTCCCACGCCGACAAACGCGCCCGCTACGACCGCGACGTCCTCCGTCTCCATTTACGCGCCCGCGCCCACGGCTCGCACCACTCCTCCTCCGTCGGTCCGGCCGGCGGCCGCCCAGCCTCTGGCCTGTCCAAGCGCCGCTCAACGACACAGGGCGCTCCCCCGCCTAGCTTTTTCAAACAAGGCGGGTACGGCGAGCAGAAGGTGAAGAGGGAGTGGCAACAGAGTACGGGGTACTCTTCACAGCAGCAGCAGTACGGGGGTGGTCCACGTCCGACAGGGGGTTTCAGTTGGGGAGGAGGAGGAGAAGGAGGAGGGGGAGGAGCGACAGGACCAAGACAACAAGAATGGTCCCAAGCCTTCAACCCCGCTTCGGCACCTCACTTCAACAGCGAGCAACACACGCGCACCCATGAGCAACTATGGGAAAACCTCAAAAAGTCGCATGCAAGAAGGAGTGAGGCGGCTAGACAGCAGGCGCGGCAGCAACAACAGCAGGAAGAAGGGGAGTGGGGAGGGGAGGGACAGCAGCAGCAGTGGTGGTCGGGGTCGGGGTACCATCAGGAGGAACAACAACCCTACAAACAGCAGCAGTGGGGTGAAAGCAAAAAAGTGATGCCGGAGATTCAGCAGGGAAATTGGGCAAGTTTCTTTGCGGTTACGGCGGTGCTGTTGGTTTCGAGCTTTGGGCCTTATTGGCTGTTTGGGGAGTGGACGAGTACGGGCGGTGGTGGTGGTGGTGGTGGTGGTGGTGGTGGTGGTAAGAAGAGGAGTGGAAGCGGTGGCAGTGGTGGGAGTGGAGGGGGAAGTAGGAAGCCGACTGCTGTTTGAGCTGTGGGATTGATGGGTAAGATTATCATATAAACTGGAAGCAGGTTGAACAGGACTGCGGGACCACAAGAGTAACAGAATTGTGGCAGGTCCAAGTGACAAATATACAGGTAACGTAGTTCTGCAGTTGAAAAAGAACTTTGTATAACAACAGACTACATTCATAATTCAGCTCTTGAGAAGTTGATGAGGCTTCAGCTGCGTGCCGAGTAACCTCTGTTACAGATCAATACGCATCTTTGCATGCTAGGTGTTCGCCGTACTAAGGTACCTATATATAGCTATCGTATCTCCGCTAGTCGAGGTGTATGGTATTGATTTGTGGACAACATGTTGAATAAGCTGTATCCCCCTAGGTTTAGTTAACGGGCTGGTTATTAAGCTTTACTTCCATCAAAGAATTCATCCTAACAGTCCCGTCCTGATGCTTCACTTCATTGCAAAGCCCTATGGAGTTTCGACAGTCTTCGAAAAGCAAGTACTGAATGAGCGTGTTTGAAATCGCTATGGGTATTTATAATCTAAGTAGTGTAATGATCGCGCTTGGTTTCCGTCTCCAGCCTAATTACAGTAACCATGTCCATCAAAGACGCTACAACTCTATCAAGAACTTTTGGCCCTCTTCGTTACACAAAAGCCCAAACCACTTATACACAAACTCATCCTATCAGTCAGCCACCCGAAGCAGGGCGCAACGTTCGTCATCTTCACTGTCTTCATAAAAGAAATAGATGTCACTACTGGAAGGGGAGGCTCCACGATGCCAGCAAAGGGGGGTTATCTATTCCAGTTGAGAATTTGTTCGAAGGAATACTATTACGCCGCTGCTTCTTCACATCTGTCCTGCGATTACTCTAAGACTCGAAGGTGAAGCTGGTGCCGACCTTGTGGGTGGCCTGGTCAAGCTTCTGGGTATCGAAAGAGGCACCAACACCGAGGGTGACGCCCTCACGGAGGAGAACGTTGTAGGCAATGGCAGCGACACCACGGTCGTTGATCTTGCCCTATAAGGTTGGAAAAAAACATCAGGTCAGCATACATGAGTTCCATAAACGAAATGACAGCAATAACATACCTTGACGAAAGAGACGGGGTCAATGCGGTACTTGGTGGCGACCTCGAGGCCGACGGTGTTACCGGTCTTGGAGTTCCAGGTAGCCTTGGAGCCGGCCTCAACCTGGGAGTTGACCTTGTGGTAGTAAGAAGCGGAGAAGACGCTCAGGTTGTCAGTAGCGGTGATGGCAGCGCTGTAGGTAGGGGCGTGGTAGCCGACAGCGGCGCTGTAACCAGTGATGGCAGCCTTCTGAACATCGTAGCCAGCGGAGGCACCAGCGAGGAAACCCTCGTGGCCGACAATGGCGTCAATGTTGGCGGTGGGGCCCTTGAGGAGGTCGAAGAAAGCACGGCCGTGGAAGTTGCTCTGCTTGAAGTGGAGGTTGAACTTGGCGCCGCGAGCGTTGGTGGCGGGGAGGAAAGAGAAGATACCCTCAGCCTTGAGACCCTTGGCGAGGTTGTCGGCCATCTCGACCTTGGTCTCAAGGGCGTTGGCAGTGTTCCAGGTCTGGGTGACGGTCAAGCCTGTTGTTCGCCAGTACATTAGCATTGTCGTGAGGTTCGCATACGGATAATAGTAAAAGCTCAAGTAGAGGGGTCGTCCCCGAACTCGAGGACCGATGATGCCGCCTAGAGAGAAATTCAAGTCTACCGGCGGCCGAACACGCGCTGAAGGCCTCTGCTTTGGATGTTTCACGTTGGCAGTACCATTGTCGTTGGCGGCTAAACTTCCGTCGGGACGACAATTCTTGGCCTTTTCGCTGTTGTGGACGCGTCTGTGAACAATGCAAAAGCCAGGAGGTAGCGGTGCGCCGGGAGGAAGGGGACCATAAGGGGGACCAGAAGAAGAAGACAAAGATGTAAGAGAAGAGTGATATGTACCATTGGGCTTGTCGGTGAATTTGCCCTCGAGCTATCAGTCACGCAAAAGAGGTCAGCTTGGTCTGTTGGCAACAGGAGAGAAGGGAGGGCGTTTGGCGCAACAGCAAGGTGATATGATGCTATCGCGGCATTGCGCCGGGAGCCCTAAGAGAGGGAGGAGGTAACATACAGCACCGCTGGTGACCTTGTCGTGCGTGGACTTGCCGGTAACCTTGAAGGCGACATTGTTGGGGGTGTTGGACTTGACCTCGATGGTGCCGGCAGCGAGGTGGTAGAAGTCCTTGTTGAGGAGCTATATTGCGCGCAAAGAAGTCAATGGTTAGCGACACATTATAGTGCGTGCATGGGGTCCAGGGCCCAATCATGCAATCATGGTGGGGGTGGAGGAGGGTGACGATGTTGCTTCATGGACATTGGCATCGACGAGCTATCGCGAGAGGGGGATGTGTAGGTATGGGGAAATGCCGCTTCAGCTTTGGAGCTTGTACAGCTTTCTCCAGCCAAACAGACAAACATGTCTCTCGATAACATCGATCGAAACAGGTCGCCGTCATAGCTCGGGTGCGGAGCACTGGGAGGCGTGATTTTTGCTTACGTCGTTGGCCGACTTGGCGATGTCAGAGAAAGCGGGAACAGCCATTGTGAAAGATGTTGTGTGAGGGCGACACGGGTATGATGGTGAATGGAGAAAGTGAGGTTGCGGAGTTCAAGAACGCGAGCTGGAGACGGGAGTCGGGAGAGAAAAGGCTTGCGGTTATGTTGCGCGCGGCGGGGAGCAGCAAGCTCGGGTCGGCTGCGACTGACGGCGGGGGGCCTCTCTGGTGGGTTCTGGCGAGCCTGGCGACTGGGTTGGGAAGTCGGCGTCGGGTCTGGGAAGCTCCAGCCGAAAAGTGGAAATGGAAATGTTGGGAACACCAGAGACACCCCAAGACCAGGTGCAATGTCCCGATAAATTTCTTAGACGGAGTCGTGATTGGTCTTTCTCGCCGTGTGCATTTGGCAGCTCGGCAGCGCTAGGCTCGCCATGACAAGCTTGAAGCAGCACCAATCGCGACCCCACGCCATTGACGAAACCAGCCCGTTCATGCACACCATTAACCCTAACCCCTCCCGGCGTCATTGCCCCCTTTCACGACTTCTCCAAAGGTAAACAATCACAGACTGAAGGCATACCGTATCATTTGCAGTCAGCCCTTTCATCTCGATACCGCAAGTGCATTTGTGTCATCCGGAGAAGGTCCGCATATGATCTCATAGCACCTACATAATGCAAGCATCTTCTATCTATCGCATACGCATAATTCTGTGTCATCCCCTTTTCTCGTACTTACATCTTGATTACCGTCTGTAGGTTGCTTGGAATAGGTCTTACCTAGGTTGTTTCACCTGTCGTGTATTGCACCTGAACCTTGCTCAATACGGAGTCAGTCCCATCCAAACAGTCACCATCGTTCACAAACATGGCAAATGCTTCTTTGAGCATACATAGAATTTTTGATCACTTTTTGTCTTCATCTCTATGCTGGGTTAATGGCTAGTATAGGTATACGCGATCCGTTTATTGTGACCCCATATAACGCCCTGCATTGCAAACCCGATGCCAAGCTTTTAAACATTCCAATCCCCATTTTCTTTATCCATGGTTTCCCTTTGTATTTTGTTTTTTTTCTTGTTTACCTTTACTCGTCCACGTGGTCATACTTGGCCTGGTGAATGGAGATGGCTCTGCCACTGGGGTCGGTCTGCTTGACCCACTTGGGAGTCCACCTCATGACGGTAGACGCGCACGAAGGGGGAAAGTGCTCGTCGAACATGCAGCGGTACCAGTAAGCCTCCTTGGTATCGGGGATGTCGTCACCCCACTCGGGCTTGGGGTTCTTCATCATCTCGTCGGTGACTTGGAGCTCGGCCTGGTCCTTGAGAGCGTCGATCCATCCGTAGCCGACACCGTCGGAGAACTGCTCCTTCTGGCGGTAGAGGATGTTGTCGGGAAGGTAGGCACCCTCAGGCTGGTCCTTGGTATCGAAGGCCTTGCGGAGGATGTACTTCTCGAGCTTCTCCTTGGTGATCATCTTCTCCTGGGGATCGATGTTGAGAGCAACCTCGAGGAACTCCTTGTCGAGGAAGGGCACACGGGCCTCAAGACCCCAAGCAGAGGTGGACTTGTTGGCGCGCAGGCAGTCGGCCAAGTGGAGGTTCTTGACACGACGGACACACTCCTCGTGGAACTCCTCCTTGTTGGGAGCGCCGTGGAAGTAGAGGTAACCACCGAAGATCTCGTCAGAGCCCTCACCAGAGAGAACCATCTTGATACCCATGGCCTTGATCTTGCGAGAGAGGAGGTACATGGGGGTAGAGGCACGGATGGTGGTGACGTCGTAGGTCTCGAGGTGGTAGATGACATCGGAAAGCGCGTTAAGACCATCCTCAATAGTGAAGGTCATGACGTGGTGCTTGGTGCCGAGGAACTTGGCGACCTCGAGGGCGGCCTTGTTGTCAGGGGAGCCGGGGAGACCGATGGAGAAGGAGTTGAGTTGGGGAAGGAAAGTGACGGTCGAGAGCTTGTTCTCATCATCGATACCGACCAAACCCTCGCCCTTGTCCTGGGCCTCAGGGTCAACCTCCTGGTTGATGGCAGCCTGCTCCTCAGCGAGCTTCCTCAGGCGGAGAGACTCTCTCTGAGCGATGGCAGCAACCAAAGAGGAATCAAGACCACCGGAAAGAAGGACACCGTAGGGAACCTCAGCCATCAGACGTTTCCTGACAGACTTCTCAAGGGTCTCGCGGAGAAGCTTGAGGTCGAGAGGAGTCTGGGGGCACTTCTTCTCATCCCACCACGAAGGCTCGAAGTAACGGGTGGTCTCGCCAGTCAAGCTGTCGAAAACGTGGCCGGGAGGGAAAGCCTCGATCTTGTCGCAAACGGGATGGAGGGACTTGAGCTCGGAGGCGAAGTAGACGGTGCCGGGCTCCTGGGTGTTGTAGCCCTTGTAGAGGGTGGTGATACCGATGGGGTCGCGGGCGGCGATCGTGCGGTCCTGCTTCTTGTCGTAAAGAACGAAAGAGAACATGCCATCGAGGTGCTTGGGGGCATCGATGCCGTGCTCGAGGTACTAAATCGCATTGTAAGTATTTTTTTTCTCTCTTCATTCATCCTCTCCTTGACAAAGCGCGGAAACTCACCAAAGGAATGATGACCTCGCAATCTGAGGTGGTCTTGAAGTGGTAGGGGTTCTTCAAGTGCTTGCGGATAAGACGATGGTTGTAGATCTCGCCGTTGGCGGCAACGGCAATGCTCTCATCGGCGTTGGTGAGAGGCTGAGCGCCACTCTCTGTTTTTACCGTCAGTTTTGTTTGGTCTCTTTAGGCATTTTCCATAGGAGCAGGTTTTCCTTTGTACGCACCAACACCGACAATACTGAGACGCTCATGGCACAAAACTGTGTGAAGCGTATGGTGTCAGCCAATTTTGTTCCTTTTAATCAACCCCAATGAGTTCTCGGGTTCGATAAAGAGTGTCCGTACTAGTGTTGTGGCAGGTGACGCTGCCGCCTATATTAAAAAAAGACAATTGTTAGCCAAGTGCTCCAGAGCTGTCGGGTCATCAATCACATTGCGCAAGCGCGCATTATCGCATTTGTTTATCTATGAGGATGACTCAGGGGCATTTGAAATGGGAATGAGACTCACTCCAATCAGGACCACGGTGACGGATGCTGTAGATAAGATAAAAGTGTCAATCGAGTCAATTCCTCCTTGGTTTGCCGAAGCCCGGTCGGGCGGAAAGGTGGGGGAAAAGCGCTTACGCCTTGGAAAGCTTCAGAGCCGTAGGCTTGAACTTGGCGACATCTGGGTGGCTATTTGAAATATCATATTAGTTTATACAATCCTAAGAAAGGACGGTTTTCTGTCGCGAGCATCGTTTCTTTGTGCAGCTCGTTTAACCTCGGATGGACGGGGCGCTCGTGTCTTGGCGGAGCAATTTTTGGGTCGCAAATTGTTATCAGATGCGCTGCCATTGTTGCCCCTCCGTTCCGATTCCGCTCTTCCCCAAAAGGTCGTCTGCGAAACGACACATGCGATGACAGGTGAAGGTATTGTAGGAACACCACAAAAACTTTGGAGTCGCAACTTACTTGTGGCAAGCAAAGATTCCGCACATCTTGACTGTTGGTCGGAGTAGCTCCTGGTGTCTCTGAAATTGGGGCCTGAAAAATGATGCTTGGCGCTCAAAGGCGGAGTAGATGGTACCGAGTTGGCGAAGAGAGGGCTGCCTTTATAACTCGGGATGGTCGTCTTGAGACTGCGGGATGCGCAAAGAACGACGTGGAAAGCACAGAAGCTGAGGGTGCAAGCTAGATGAAGGCCGGATGGGATGAAATGATGAGAGGAAAAAGAGAGAGAAAAAAAAAAGGCCAAGAGGGAAAAAGGAACGGGAAGTACAAGAGGAGGGTTGTTGACTCAAGAGTCAAGGGGCTGGCCGTTTAAGAAGGGCCAAAGAGTCATAGATACGCGGGCACTTACGCATCTCTTGGCGAAAGATAATGTAGTGTGGTGATGTGGTGGTGAGCCGACGGAACCCCAGAAATCGGATCCAAAAGTCCAGTCTTGATACAGGATGAATCCGCACTTTGGCCCCCCCAGACCCATTCAAGACACTCCATCCAAAACTCCATTCAACTCCGGCGGTCTCCTGTGGTCTCGCCCGAAGGCTGACTTCTCTTTTCCTAGATCGTGTTCTTTGACTCCACGGAAGCATATGATTAACAGCGTGGCAAGCTTAAAATACTACGGCGTATTCTAGCTGCCACTATTTTGTCCAGGATATTGCCAATTCCAACGGCCCATTGGTTGCTTGGCTCCAGCATACCGGCCAAAAGACGGAGGAGGCGACAAGCTCCAGAGCCTCTTGTTCCCTTCTGCCAGTCCCTCGCCCCCAAAATCCGTCACAGCCCAAATCTTGAGGCCGGTTTCGGGACAGGCTGGTCCCTGAGATTGTCTGAAAAGGGACGGTCAATGAAACCCCACATATCGGTCTCAGTCCCGCAGGCCCGCATCCGCCAATCCAGGGATTACCTCCACCGGACTGATAAGAGAACCGCGGAAAGCCGTGTACCTTTTAGAAGCCATCATCAGCCGCCGAGCCAAGCATGTTAGCTGGCCACACAGTGGAGAGAAACGAACAGTAAATATTTTCATCACAGTGTGCCGGCAGATTATGTGCCAGCTGCATGGGCTGACAAGTCCTTCCAGCTCTCAACGTCATCGTGTCAACGGCATAAAGTCCAACTACCTTACAAACCTCAAGTGGGGGGGCGGCGACAGGTACCCCAGGTTTCTCCGCAAGCGGAGCGTGGCTTGCAACCTTGCCGTGAGGTTAAAAACTTCTTAAACAAACTGAAGGCAGAGAAAAGGCTAGTGGTAAATCATGTACGGAGTATGTGACTGAGAGACTATAAACTGGGTGACCGATATTCTAGGTCCTCCGGACGTGAACTTCCTGTGAAATAAATTTCGCTTTTTTTCTTTTTTCTCGAAACGCATACCTCTCCCGCCTTGACCGAATTATCTGCGATTGAAGATGACTCATGAGGGTTCATCCCACTAATTCCACTACTCCTCGGTCGAACTCGACCGCGAGTTTGGTAGATAGGAGATCTAGGTCCGAGACAGCAAGTATTGAGCACGAAAGTTAGGCGAAACGGACTGATCCATCGGGCGCAGCGTCGGTAATTTTGTTTTTTCTTAGACTCTTGTTCCTCGATCATGAGCATATAGAGCAGCCCGAAGATTGAATCGTGCGCAGGATCGCTATCGATGAATGAACTCCCTCCAAATGCCGCCGCAAACAATGAATTGGTATCCCTAAACTCCGTGTCCCAGTCCAGCAAAACAAAACTGCTCTCTCATTTTCACCAAGCACCTTCACAGTCGTGGGTTCCCAATCTATGGGGCGGCATTCTCCCGCACGACGCGCTTGATCCGACGTTCATACTCCTGACGATCTTTCTTGAAGAGATTGTACGCCTCAGCCTGGGCTGGGGACTCGGGGTTGGGGTCGTTGAGCAAGTCCTGAATGCCGAGTAGGATCTGCTTCATCGTGATGGCCGGCTTCCATGCCTCTTCTTCGTTAAGGATCGAGAGACAGACCGTGCCCGATGGGTAGACATTGGGGTGGAAGAGAGGGGGGACAAATTTGCCTGCTCAGACGCCAACATGTTAGCCATGTGATCGTGGGAAGAGGGGATGAACGAGGGCTAGCTTTCGGCGTACACTTGGGGGGTTTCGTGGGATATTCTGCATGCAGAAAACGTCAAGTCAGCACGTGTAATTTTTTTTGCTAAAGGCACCGACCGGTGCAGGGCGCATACCATCAGGGAAAGTGACGGTCAGCTTGAACAGACCACCCTCCCAGATTGTCTTTTCCTTGCCAGGAATACCACATTCCCAAATCTTCAAGTCGAGCACACCCTGCTGGTTCTTCTGGGGACGGGCATAGAAGCCAAAGGGATGGTCCTTTCGCCACTGCTTCCTAGAGGGAGAGAATAAGATTGTCAGTCTGCTGGACGTAGGTACACTGTTGCGCGCGATGCTTTGCGGCGTACCGTTCCTCTTGCAAGCGGTTCTGGCACAGCGCCATGGTGGTTGATGAGGTTGACGTTGACGGGGTTTGGCGTCGGTAAAAAGTTGAGCGGTGGCTGATCAACGTGGGATTTGAGTGATCCCTCGGACGGGCTGAATGCGACGACGATTCAACTTCCACGGCCGGCTTCTTGCTAATGCAATGACGGCGCCGAGAAACGTGGGGATGCGGCTGAAGAGCTGCTCGGGTTGGTCACGGGGGGGGGATGGGCGCGGATCAGAAGGTGGAGTGTGGAAAGGTCCTCTGCAGGTCAGAGATCCAATCCTATGGGCCACGCGATATGTAGTGTAGAAGCGTGGAGTATGTAGCCCCGCAAGGTGAGAGGTGGGAGTGATTTGGGGTTCGTAATGCCAAAAAAGAAAAGATGAGGGTTCGAATATCTGAGTATATGCGGAGAATGATGCGCAATCTGAATGGAAATAAGTGCTTTCTGGGAACCGACTGTGTCTGATGTAGTAGATTTCGAATCCTAATGAGGCTGGAGGAAAGGTTCAGTTCGCAAGTGGCAGCAAGTCGAAATGGCAGACGACGCGTTCGATAAATTGCGCCGGCCGTCGCTCAGTTATTGCCTGCCGGACTCGGAGTTCCTGTTGCCTCGAATAAGGAAGGCGGACAGTGGGTGAATGGCATGGAAGCTCTTTCCTTAACTTGTACTCCGAAGCTTCCACTTGTAAACCATCTCACCTAAAGTGAATGGGGCCTATTTGAGTGACAGCGTGTAGACTCCAAAATGAGCTTGATCCGCAGCCACACTAGCATCAGAAGATGGGATGACAGCGGGATGCCTGTTACTTTCAGTTTTCAAGCAACCTGATATCGTCAAGGAATATTGTCTGAAGCTGGAGGTGGTGTCCCTCGGCACACAGCGTACCCTGGCGGGCAATGGTGGGGTGAATAGTTCAAGCAGAGATGCGGGAAAGCGCCGTGAGGAGTGAGCCGAATTGCACATGCAAAGGAACCCCCCCTCGTCATCTGAACCCTTCTGCATGTCAATCTCCCTCTGACTTCTCTCCCTTGTTTTCTCCCACTGATCACCCTTTCTTTGGAGGTTTTGGTTCGCCCTTTGAAATCACAATTTTGGATTTGCCTATTCCAGAGAGATTTTGTATACCCTCCTGATATACCACTCCGCCTTGCATTAGCTTGGTTTCTACCCCAAACAGACAACTTCCCGCGTTTACCTCTTTCAAAGAGGTCGTGCTTCAACGTGGGGTCAACCTTTTTGCCCAAGCATCTGCTTCATCTGTCGGAACGAGGCGCATCCACGACGATCGACGTCTTTGCGATTTACACAACATTCTTACACACCCATACCGCACAATGGCTTCGAATAACGTCGGCGCAAAGGAGGAGGTGCCCAAGAAGGCCACCGTGGTCGACGAGTTCGACGAGGACGTGTCCGACCCGGATGAGGATGACCTGGATGACCTGGATGACATGCTCGATGAGTTCGCCGCAGTAGACCTTCAAGCCAAGAAGCCTTCGGGGCCAGCAAAGCCAGACGCCGCTGGGGCAGATGGTGCCAAGGGGGAAGATGATGTCCTGTCCGAAGAGGAGTTTGCGAAGCAGCTGCAGGCCGGCATGGCTGATCTCCTCGGGGACATCGAGAACTCGGTAGGCGCAAACAATTGCAATACCCCAATTTCTGCGGCTCTAGCTAACTCTGAGCCAGCCTGAGCTACAAGCCCAGTTCGAGAGCATATTCAAGGAGCTAGGAGCCGCCGCCGCCGCCTCGGGTGCCGAGACATCTGGTATCCCCACTCCAAAGGCCGAGACTTCGACCAAGACTCCTCCGTCTTCTTCCCGCAGAGCCTCGGCCGCGGCCTCACCATCGAGCAAGAATGCGGAAGCTTCCTTCCAAGAGACCATCCGACGGACCATGGAGCGCATGCAGACATCTGGCGAGCAAGCCACAGCCGCTGCCGCAGCTGAGGGTTCCGATGATTTCCTTGCTGAGCTGCTCAAGCAGATGCAGTCGGGTGGCCTTGACGGCGAGGGCAGCGAAGAGGAGTTCAGCAAAATGCTTATGGGAATGATGGAGCAGCTCACACACAAGGACATTCTGTATGAACCTATGAAGGAACTGCACGAGAAGTTCCCTGGCTGGCTGGAGAAGAACCGCGCGACGACATCCAAGGAGGATCTCGAAAGGTACGAGTTGCAGCAGAAGCTGGTGAGCGAGATTGTGGCCAAGTTCGAGGAGCCCAACTACGCGGATACGAGCAAGGAGCACCATGAGTACATCGTGGACAGGATGCAAAAGGTACATTGACCCAGCAGACCCCGATTCATTCGACACCGCCAACTGACACCCCTTGTGTATAGATGCAAGATGCTGGCCAGCCTCCCAACGACTTGGTCGGAGACATGCCCTCTGCCCAAAATCTCGACCTCCCCGACGATCAATGCGCCCCTCAGTAATTGTCTCAACACATCCAAACAAAAGCCTGCAGCGAGTATGATACCATGAAGAGTTAGTCGCCATCGAAAAATGTTGGGCAGTTTATTGTTGTGCGCCCTTATGTGTACTGCCATCTCAAGAGCAGCGCTAAAGTATGAGGATATAGAGTACTTAATGAGATCATTAACTCTAGTGATCCTGCACACCCACGTGTACCGACCCGTATTCTTGTTGCATATACCCTTCTAATCTGAAAATGACTATTGGCTGTGTTCCTTTTGTGTCTCCGAACACAATCAATCCTCGATGAATGTAACCCGAACTCCTTGTCCTATGCAAATGCAAGCTATGAATCCAATATGTGCCCCACGATATGAACAAAGCGCAAGAAAACTATCAAGCGTCACCATGGTATTTACCCTCCCATTTCCACGTCGTCCTGACTGTGGTGATGATGCTGTATCCCCGCATCACCACCACCACCACCACCACCACTTGGTTGTTGTTGCTGCTGTTGCTGTTGCTGCTGCGCCAAAACCTCCATAAACAGCGCATCGTACTCATCATCCTCCCCCTCCTCCTCCATATAATCGTCCCCTCGTTGTCGTTCTTGTTGCTGCCCTTGTTGCCCCTGCTGCCCTTCTCTTGCCCTCAAATCCTCCTGCGCCTGCTGATTAAGCGCCAACAAGGCCTCCAACTCCGCCTCCTCCTCTCGCGCAATCATATCCGCCATATAAGCATCTATATCCTGTTCTCCCCCTGTCCCTGTTCCTGGTGGTTGATCTTCCAATAGGCCTTCGAGAAATTGTTGCTGGTGGTTGAACTTTGCTCGTAGCTGCGCGAGTTCTTCGATTTCTTGCTCGAGAGCAGAAGCAGCAGAACCGTCGTCACCACCGCCGGTACCGGTGTGGAATTGAGAGGAGTTGAAAGGGTCGGGAGGGGCGGAGGCTTCTTTTGCGAGGCGGAGTTCGCGGTTGAAGCGGAGCCATTCTAGTTTTAGGAGCTATTTTTTTGTTTTTGTGGTCTGTTAGTGTGGGTGAATTGGATGGGATGGGATGGATGATGAAGATATTGGGGGGGTGGGATGGAAGGATTGGAAGAAAAAAAGAAAAATAAAGAAGAAACGAAGAAAATATATAGAGAGAAAGAGAGAAAGAGAGAAAGAGAGAAAGTAAAAAGAAAACAAACCTCATTCTCTCCACCTCTCCTCTCCCACGCCTTGTCGTCCGCTCGTTGCCTCACATTCTGCAAAAACAAACGCCGTCGGTCTTCTTTGCGGTTGGAGGAGAAGGAGGGATGGTTCATAGGTCGAGAGGGCCGGGAGTTGTATTTTAGGAATTTGTTGTTGTTGTTGGTGTTCCCCCCGTCTAACTGCTGTTGTGCTCCATCTGCCTGTCCATGCTGACCTGAGGCTTGCCCTTGTCCCTGTCCCTGTCCCTGTCCTTGACTTTGCAAAAACGACCCAAAGATAGGTGATGATTGTGACTGGCCTCCAAAGATCCCTCGTGGTTTCGAGGTCGGTGAACCTGGTGGTGAAGATCGGGACATTGTATCGAATGGGCGGATGGGCGAGGAAGAGAGGGGAGAGCTGATTTTTGGTCGGTATTGGGGTTGGTATGGCGAGGAGAAGGAGGTGGTGAAAGAGGGGAAGGTCGACGGCGTTGGCGTATCACTACTGTTGTTGTTATTGTTGTGGTTGTGATTGTGATTGTGGTTGTGGTTGTGATGGTGGCTTAAGGAGGAGGGATCTTGGACTTGGCCAAAGGAAAAGGCTGGAGTTGAGGTGGACATTATGACGACGGGGGCGGCGTCACTGGAAGCGGAGGAGGCTCCGGTATGGAAGAAAGACATAATCTGGTGGGATGACTTGGCACTGAGTTTGAGGAAGTTGGAGTTGTTTCGATTTGTTTTGGTGACTAAAAAGAATACGAAGTACCGGGCGTGGATATCCCTCTCGTCCCGGGTTGTCGCTTGTAAGTGTGTAGGCAGCAGAGCCAAAGAGGTCCGCAATGCGGGTCGGTTTGAAAAGAAGCCGGGAGTCGCGGTGAATATGGTACGCCGTTGGATTATTGGATATATATGTACAATAATACTAGTAGGGTCTTGGTATTGAGATCACAGCATGCAGTTTTCAGACGCAGTCATGCTTCCTCAGACGTGCTTGGACATTTTCTGTGTGCAACGTGAAGATCGCGTCTTTTGCTCGGCGAACCGCGGACGCACGTGTAAATTGGGGTACGCGACGGTGCAGTGCCATAGATGACGGGATTTGTTTGGTCCGCCAAATCTCAGGGTTAGGGTTTAAGCACATGCTTCTCACGTTTGACAACTGCGAGACACTTTCCCATTTCACATCAAACAAGCAACCGGTGATCTTGCCCGACTAAAGGTTCTTCCAAAAGGGCCCGCTGTGCTCGGCATCGATGTTTTCTTTCTAAAATCCCCCTTTCCAAGCACTCCGATGCATCATATGATCTCTACAACTTATTTAAAACATGTCCCCTCCGCCAGCCGTGAGTCAAGCCTCTCGCCCAGTGCAGCCTGGCAAAAGGTTACGAATTAGGTAGTCGACATCGACATGGACCGTCCTCCAAGAACGCCTGCGCCTTCTCGCTTCCTTATTGGCAGGAAACAATCTCAAGCCAATGCATCCTCGCAACGGTTACCAGATCCAAACCAGGCACCACAAAATGCAGCAAGCAGAGCACCAAAGTTCCATGCAACTCCACGTTTTCATGCCGGAGCTTCATCGACGCCAAGACCGTCGTACCGGACCTCTGCGGGCTTATCCTCTACGCCATCCGCCATAGCAAGCTCCATCAGAAGCCGTACCAATGTCCCAGAGAGACGAAGTCGATCTACGCTGGAGTTCATCGATGACGATCTGTTGCCTGTAGATGGAGAAAGCTCACCCTTTGCTCGCTATCCCGGCTCGGTGACACGGCCAGGGCAGGCGCCAGAATATCCAGAGCCGATCGAGTTTGACTCCTCATTCGTTTCGCAGTCGCCGATCAAGGTCAAGGAAGAAGGTGCGGATGAGTTGGACCGGGAACGGTCACACAAGCGACGTCGTCTTTCACCGGTTATTGACCTCGATGTTGAAGAGGTGGAGGCTAGTAGTCCACCACTTCCCTACGAGGGTGAGTGCGAAGGTCATGAAGTGGAGGAACTCATTGATGATGCAGAGTCCGCGGTCGATGAGGGTTCTTCACCACCAAGGGCACTGGAACATGACAAGGATGTAATCATCTCCAGCCCGCTTGCTTCCAGTGACAGAGACTTCGAAAAGGTAGACGAGAGTGTTGCCGGCAGTCACTCAAGTGAACCTCTCTCCTCACTACCACCTCGAGGCATTCGTTCACATGAGTACCGCAGTGAGTCCGAGGAGGGTCTAGAGGGCGAAGACGAGGATGATGATGCGGACGAGAATCAGCGGATGAACCCAGACTTAGGAGGATTCCACGGGAGCGATGAGGACCACACTCCCATAGCAAATCCACAAAATGCCTCTGACGTGGAACCAAATACAGACGCAGAAGATCACGACCATGAACACACAAGGCGAAACTCGTGGTCAACATCCATGAAGCCCAAGGGCCAAAATCCCTTCCTCAGGGCACCTCGCTTCAAGCCCAAATCACCCGGTCCCCCAGACCCTCCGCCAGACGTCTCTGTTCACCATACCCTTCTTCCTGACATCTTCTCGCCCCAGCGTCATCGAGGCGCTCGCTATGTGCCCGGTGGGCTAGCATCTGAACTACGAGAATGGTTACTGGAGGTCAAGGGAGGCTCCAGTACTGAACCGACTCCCGTGGCCGCTACTGCCCACCTTGCCGTCGAAACCGTAAAGAAGTGCGGACCTGGGATTAGTATGACACTTGTTACCGGTCGACCAATGATTGGTGGACCTGATGGAACCAAAGTGCCCAGGAGTTATAGGGCTTTGCTAGCTGGTGATGGGAGAATGGAGGGGCTTGGTGGAAGTGGTGCTGGTGTTGAGAGCAAGCCGGAAAGAGAGGAGGAAGGTGCGGATGAACCGGACAGGAAGCCGTTGGTGCCCGGCGCCATGGTAGCGATTGCACCACCAGCATGGGACATTGACTTGGGTGAGGAAGAAGAGGATGACCAAGGTGATAAGGGCAAGTGGGCGGTTGCGTATCGGTGGGATGTACTTTGAAAGAGATGCCCGAGACGCCGTCATCTGCTCCGCCACACTGAACGGCCCGATATCATTCGAGATGTCGGTGACAGGTTATATGGTTCGGGTTTATTGTTGCCGACTGTCACTATGGCGCTTGGCGTAGTTGGAAGGAAGTCGGGTTTCTAGTATCCTCTTAAAAGAGCACATATCAACACAAGTGTCAGGTGCTACGTGGTAGACCCTTCAGCGGATCCAAACGCTTGGCATCATGGTATCTTGAACACTCAACGAAACTTTTATGAACACAAGGGCAGTCGTTCTAACTTTCATCGATACCTACTCATATACAATCGAAGGTTGTAGAACTAAACAAGTCCTTGACAGAAATCTCATGTCCCAGTCTGATCTGAGGCAGAACCGGGTAGATATCAGGTATACAATAGAAGGAGATTCGGCTTCCCCTTGACTTCGTAATTCAGGCTGAAAGCGGCTTTGGCTTTAGGCATGTAGGGAAGGCAGCCGTATTAGTTTGATACGGGCGTCCCGAACGTTGGATCCGAAGAACGAGTTTGCTATCATCTGTCCGACAGTTTGACAGGCCAATGTGGTAGCACTGGCTTCTGATATCTGAGTGATTGCATCAACCTCATTTTTGCGTGGGCTGAGAAATGGGAGGCGGTTCCCAACTTGAGGTTCCTCTGCAGTCGCCTTCCATTTGCCTGCACTCGGCCCTCAAGGTCCCCGACAATTCCTACGTTTCGAAATATCCAAGGATTCGTGACATGGAAAGCACGTTTAGTTTAGCGAATGCGAATGGCAAGGATGACCCCAAGGGGGAGGTTTCCAATCTTTTCATGTCCAGTTTTGGAAGGCAGCACTCTTGAAGAAGACTTCCAAGGAAAGTGTCAGAACTGCCCGACAATTGAAGGAAGTGCATAAAAGAACGGTTTTCTATTGGAGGACTTCTACACGGGAAATTAGAACCAGAATGCGGAGTCACTGCGGGGACCCCTTGTCACGCCTTCCCCAAACTCGGCTCCCCCTGTCTGTTTTTTCCCCAGGACTGTTCCTGCCCCGGATCCCAGCATCGACGCCGACGACGACTCCAGTGGGTCAACGGCCAGGGCATCCATATTCACAGACTGAAGTGGGAATCTCGGGGTTCACCGTGTTTGGTATTGGGAGTTCTATTTGTCCTTTTCTTGCTATTTCCTGTCTACAGTAGCTGGGAACTCAGTCCTCCACATCATGTTCTACGACCAAAGAAATCATTATCTTACACGTCTGGTCTCGTCGAGATCCGTGATAGCATCCATCCTCTTGGGAGATCTGGAGTCAAGGGTGGTGGGACATCTCGCAACCAGCCGCCTCCTCTCCTACATATCTCCAACTTGCACCAAGTACCTCACTGCCACGTTTTCCCTCCAGTCAAGAGACAGAGAGGTACAAGGCACCTGCTCCAGTGTCTCGGTCGTCCAGAACCACTTGAAGTCTCTCCACTAGACAGCCTATCTCTCTCCAGTTGGTCTTCCCAGTTGGTCCTCCCAGTTCCCTCCCACCCCGTCCCGCGCGCTATCCGCCCGGCCAACCCCCTGGTCTATCTGGCCACATAGCACGCGCTTCATCGGTAATCCGTCGACAATCCGCGAATGCTGATTGCATGGCCCTGTCTGGGTTTGACGGCTGATCCAACAGTCTCGGGCTGTGGAAGGGGGGTCTTCTTAGACGGCAAAACCAACCAAGCACTCGGCGGAATGTTTTGTTCTGACCTTGCTTGGCACTGCGACTGAGTTCGAGGCCGATATCCCCGGGGCTGGTGAGAGAAGTTGATAAGACCAAAGGCCACAACAGTCCGGAGCTTCACTGGTACGCATCATATACCTTCGCCCGACCTACTGACTTTGCTCCTGACATTGTCCTTTTTTTCCCCATCTTGACAGATGCTACCCTGACCTACCTCAGCTGCACTACTCGCGGCTGTTTTGTTTTTAACCTCTTGCTTGGGCCCCGCTGAAGACGCCACAACCGATACTTGGAGCTTGGCCCTTCTTATCATTCAACTTTCATCCCATACAATCAAAAACATCGATTGGAGCAGCGACCTCTGATCCGTATCTGTGCCGAAGCTTTTCGTCAGTTTGTCTGGCGTCTTCTCTCATCGTCCACCTTGCATCTCACTCGATAAAGCTTGAAAGGACATTCGAACCAGATGCCGAGGACATGAATACCTACACAGCCTGACATCAACCTTCAATATAGCCAGCCTTTGTTCGCCTCATCAACACATGTTGTCAATGCGAATTCGGTCTTTGCATGACCAAAGAATCTCTTGCCGTCAACAACAGTTCGTATGACGAAGGACCGCGGTGGAAACAGCAAATTTCTTTCAAAAAACCAACTATCGCGAAGGCCATGCACACTAGGTTTCCTGAGTGGGATTTTAGCATCAGGTGGTCGGGTGCGCTCAAACAAAAACCATAAGCTCAAACGAACATCTACGTGGACATCCCACCAGGCGACTTCTTTGAGCAATCCCATCCGAGGCATCAGGATCATTTCGCATGTTCGGTGGAACTCGGCTCAAATCCACAAAATGGTCAGCATACAGCAGGCAGAGCCGGCACCGGCACTTATATCGGCGCCAGTGCCAAGCACTAAGCCTGCTCATCGAGCAATCGACCTGGTCAAAGGAAGGACAACTTCGCCGGCGGTTGGCAACCTCCCGCTTCTGAGAGGGCCTCGCAATGGAGATACGAGAACAGCCGTGATTGTTTTTGGCCAGGGCCAGGAGAAAATTGTGGCTGTATTTGCCGAAGTCTTGGGGAAATCTTACCGGGTGAGGAATGGGTTCAGAGACGTCTCTTCAGATGATCGGGATTTGGTGGTTGGCATTGCCGCAACACAGGCAAAATCCGACATTGCAGCTCGGGACAGGACCTCGATCGTCGCCATCAACGTTCATTGTACCAGCATGGGCATGCCTCCAGACGCATATCTCTCCGCTCAGTGTGACTACGAATTTCTATACACAGAGGCACTTTGTTCTAGACGGGACATTTCACGTTTTGTTTCTCACACACTTGGGCAGCTGAATCATCACGAAACCCTCATGGCCAAACCACGGACATACTTCATTTCGACAACGTTCCCCGACGTACATGCTGCCCTCCCGAATATCGATATCCTAACCGTGGGTGCAGATGCTGTTGAGATCAGGGTTGATCTCTTGAAAGAGCCACTCGCTGACGGAACTTATGCTCCGGTTCCCAGCTTGAGTTATGTTGGCGAACAGGTGATGCTGCTCCGTCAAAGGACAGAACTGCCAATCATCTTCACCACCAGATGTACGGCCGAAAATGGGCGTTTTCCGATGGACAATCCTGATCTATACTACGAGTACCTCTACAGGGCAATCCAGTGGGGAGTGGAGTACATCGATGTCGAGATTTGGCTCCCGGAGAGGATCAGGAGGAGGCTTTATGAGCAACGTGGCAGCAGTCGCATCATGTCCGCATTTCACGACTTCTCTGGGACTTTCAAGTGGCCATCAGCAAGGGCAGAAGCAACTTTCCGGGAATCAGCACGGTTTGCGGATATTGTCAAAATGATCGCCATCATCAACGACCACAACGAAAACTTTGAACTGGAGTATTTCCGCTCTAAGATTAAGGCAGAATACCCCGATGCGCCGCCACTGTCTGCTGTAAACATGGGCGAAACAGGACAGTTTTCACGGACCTTGAACCGGGTTTTTACACCCATCACTCATCCTCTATTACCGATAATCGCCGCTCCCGGTCAGTTGAGTGCCTCCGAAATCAATCAGGCTTTGGCCTTACTTGGACAACTGCCGAGAAAGAACATCTACGGAATCAACACCCCCTCTAGCCGCATATCGACCCCTCAGGCACCTTTCTATGGGAAGTGTTTCAACGAACTAGGTCTGCCCCACCACTTCTCTGTCGTGGAGAGACCCCTCAAAGGTTTCGCCTCTGTGGAAGCGTGGTGCAACCAGAAGAACTTTGGTGGTGCTTACCTCTATCCGGCTGTTTCTTTTCAGCATTTGATCTCAAATAGTGCCTTTTTTGCATCCATCAACAATGGAACGGGGCCGATTCTCAGCGATTCAGTAAAGCTTATTGGCATGGTGGACACGATTGTTGTTCAATCCAAGGGCTCGTTTTCTGCTTCCCCTGCACTGTCCTCAGCACCGTCCAGTCCAGGACGTCACCAAAACAGCGAGTCAATAGGTTCCGTTGCTTTGTCGCAATCCGGCCTCCCACCTACCACGGTTTTGGTCTTCGAAAATGCTGCTTGGAAAGGGATATTGAGTACACTCACTCGCGACTTTGCTCCTTCGGCTTATTCTGGGCGTGCCGCCGTGGTTCTTGCTTCAAACTCCGACGATGCTGCCAGTCCTCTCCTTGCGCTTAAAGCTCTGATGGTGAGCAAGATCTACACAGTCGGCTTCAAAGCGTCGCCAGCTGTTGCCAGGGATTTCAATCTGGAGCCCTTCGACAGTCTTGAGAGTATGCAAAAGGCCCGTACGAATGATGCTTATCCCGCCAATCATGGTGCCTCGCCTTTCGTGGTCGTGAGCGCGTTGGCCCCGGAGAAGAGTAATCTTGTCGGTATGCTGGTCCGCGTCTTTGGCTCTCGGGGCCCATCAACGTTTCGCAAGGTTTTTCTTGACCTTGCTGATGGATCGTTTCCTCGAAAAGGTGATCCCAAATTGATTGCAGAGCAATGCGGCTTTGCTGCTTATGGTGCTGAGGACGTCATGGCTTTCACCACTGTCGAAACGCTGCGTCTTCTTGTTGGTCAGAATGTCCCTTACAGCTTCGTACGTCTGGCCAGCGGACGGCCGATGTTTTGATATCTGCACAAACATTCTGACCTACATCTCGAGACGCACTCTGTGCAGAAAACCCGTGATCTTCCGCTAGCTATCTGCATATTCTCGGTGGCTACCACGAGGAGGTTAGTTACACAAACACTCCCTCAAATGTCTGCCACTGCTGGCTACCATGACTGACATGTCTTTCCAGTTTCTGATGGTACCCCGTCGCCGATACCAACGCCGATGTTGTGCATATTTCGTTGTAGAGAAGCAAGACACATCAATCGTTCTCAGTCTCGGCCTTGAGAGCATATTTCATGGTGTTTGACACGGCGTCCCTCCTTGGTGTGGGAAGTCTTTCTTCTTAAAAGACCTTACCAAGATGGTTCGCTTTTTCGATGCAAGATCGGTGTCTTGTCTATCATCACACAAAGGAAAGCTGATCGCTCTTGGGGGTTTTGTTTTGGTATCGCGTTTCATCGTGGTACACCCACAGCTTTGTTCATCCACCCCCGGCGTTGCATTATATGCATTTACTTTCATGTGGCTCAATGATCATACCCACCATCTTCGTTATCCTTGTATCGTTTGCT